GATTCGAATCGAGAGTTGGAAACAAGGAAATCGTCGAAGAGATGAGGAAGGTTTATGCTGTGAGACGGGCCGGGAGATTGAGAAGACGGGACGGAACTGGGAGATGGACTTTATATCATCAAAGTCTGTTGCTCGTTGCTCGAAAGCTTGGTAGGAAGGGGGAGAAAAGACTAAAGAGAGTTGTGGATGAGACGGACGGACGACCGAACCCTGCCACCCATCTCAGTGTGAAGGTGAGGGTAGAGATCCATCTATCCATACCACACTTGCACACACACACACCCGAAGGAGGCGCACTAAGACTTGGGGTTCGGGTCTGACAAGGTAGGCTTCCTTTTCAGAATGCAAGGCGGAGCAAGGGGGGATCGTGCCTTTGGGTCTCCTGGCCAGGGTACATGATGGCATCTGGATCTAGTCCATGATGAATGAGTGCAGCAGGATGGAGACACTGAAGAGAGAGCGAGATAGACAGACCGAATAGAGGAAAGGAATCACGGACGCAACCCATTGAGAATGTACCAATGCTCAGTTTGTGTTGCTGATGCTACCTACCGTGCCATTGCCCCTGGTCCATGCTTGGAGGTTCATGTCGCTGCCGTCTTGAAGGGTTACCCTGCCGTTACCATCGAGGGCATCCTTTGATCCAAGGTAGGTAGGTGGCTTTGACTCTTGGAGGCAGAACGCGAGGCGGGAGGGTATCTTTCGCGATGAAGATGGAAATGTGTGTCATCTTCCTGTGCCACCCAGAAGGGGGAAGAGAGTCGGTTTCTCGCAAGGCAGGCCAACAGAATGGATAGACAAGGGTCCTTGGACAAATCCCTCGAGGCAGAAAAGAAGGTTGCCCTCTTCCTGGTTGGACATGAGACGAAGGGGGTCGAGGCCAAGGAGAATGGAAAGAAAACGGCAGGTCGCGGAGGAGGAGGACGGAGCATGGCAGAAGTCTGAGAGGTACGTACACTCAAGGATGATGGTACGTACATAAGCAAACTGCGGAGATGCCTGGCGCAATGCGCGTCTAAGGTCGCAAGGCACCAAGGCAGCTGACCAACGGACCTGGAGACGGCAGGAGAGAAAGTGGTGGGGTTGCCAGTGGCTGGGAGGGGCCTGTTTGCCGGCCCTTTGCAGCTTCTTCCGTCAACCGTCACTTTTCACAATTCCGACCGTTTCTTCTGCCTCTACTGCGTATGAGTCTACGGCCAGGGCACACCACGTTCTCTGCAGTGCTGCACGTCCACACATCGTACACCGTCACGGGCAAGCCATTTCGTCCTGCGGTCAACCTGAGCTCGGCCGGCCTATGCGGATCTTGGCCTCGTAGAAGGCGGCCACAAGTTGTGGAATACCAGGACCCTGCACGGTGAGCCTGGCGACCTTGAGTCCATGACATCGCATGGCATGGCATCGCATGGCTCAAGTCCCACCCGTCTGACAGCGTCTGGAATCATAGAACACAACACTGAGAGCAGAGTGACAATCCTACGTGCCACACAGCCACAAGTCAGAACTTACCAACGCCGCGGCAATCTCATCTTCCGAAGATCACGAACCAAGTGCTGACCCTGGCGCGGTGATGCGCGGGTTTAGTCCAACTCATCAGAGAAAGGAATTTCAACAAAATAGACGGCGCTGTCATCCAGAGAGCAGATGGCGTCTGCCAGCGAGTCGCTGACAGTCATTCTTGGTTACCCTCTTGGCTCTTGAAGCACGTCGTAATACGTTGCAAAGCGCGCGGGTCTCCAGAAGCCAAGACTCTTGGTTGTCTCCGAGCCCGTTCTTGGCTTTGTGGAATCTTTGAACCCCTCCAAGATCCTATGGGACTGGGTCCAAGATAGCCGACATGGTGCCAACTCTGTCGCCTGTTTTGCAAACCTTCGCCCTCCATGTAGCTGTCTCGAAAAGCCTCGAGTCCCACTAAGACGTCCGATAATACGCATACAGAATTCGTACTTGTCGTTCCATTTCATTCTCGCGTCGTCAAAATGCCTCAATTCTTTTACTGCAACCCACCGGTTCTCTTCAATGTGGCGCTCGAGGCGTGCCAGGGTCGCCTTTGGTACCCTCACAGGAGTCGGGTCTGTCATTTGAACGTCTATAATGTCACCTCACCATTCCGTTCTTCCTCGAGGCCGTTCGACCATCGCGGGTGGGCGCGGCTAGGTGGTCTATTCAACCCCTCACGACTCCATCCTCGTGCGCCTCTTCTGCCCGCCGCTAATCCGCATTCGAGCCACGATGACTGGCTGACGGTGGCGGGGGTCGGCTGCCATGCTTCCGCTAAGCAGACACTCGAAATATAGCACGGCTACTCGGAGGACCGAGATCTTGAGAGGTCCACCCTCTTGCTTACTGGCTCAATAAGCGGGCTTCTGACCAAAGGCAGGTCTCTTTATTTTTGGGAAGCAATCACGTTTCGGTCTGCAGGCCGAAAATACACATGGACGCAAAAACGTGGCAGTCGCGAAAAGACTTGCCAATCTCGTTTGGCTATCTGGAGTCATCTCGTTCCGAGAACCCTTCGGCCTCACCTTTGCTAAACCCCGGAGGACTCTACGAAGGTTCTGCCGTTTATGAGCTCCACCGTCCGTAAGTTCCGACTCAACCGGCCGTTTCTCCCGTTTCTCGGCGCCCTTCTCCCTGCATCCAGAACGTTTCGTTTCCTTGCAACCTCGCAAAAGCGCACTGTTCACCACGGGGACAGTGGCGAACAGGGCCGTTGCTCCACTGATCTCCTCCGTGCCATCACATCACGACAGCACTTTAATTCAGACGCGACTGGAACTCCCTTCTCCTGACGAGATCTTTGATCCAACTCCTCCATGGTATCATGGCAACTCCTTTACAGCTCGACGATCCAACATCGCGAACCTGAAACCTCGTACAGTCACGTCACAATGTTTGGGGATCTGCAATGCCACACCGGTGACATTTCTAGTGCTACCGACTTTGGGCAGCTCCAGTGTTACAGATCCGGCTAGATTTCTCAGGGGCAATCGGGTAGGAAAGTCGCTCTCCGGAATGCAGAATCTGACGGTGCCGGCCACCGGTGCCTATTCGACGGCTCCTTGTGCACGACTCAAGCTCGGAGCAGCCTCGTCCTTGAAGCTGACGACGGGCGCACACAGAGCTCCGTGTCCCGAAGATTCAACACACACTTCCCTCAGGTCTGAACTTTGAATGCGAAATTGTGGGAACAGGGCTGCGGAATCTCCGTTGGGAAATAAGCTTCACGTACGAACACCTGAATCACAAATGTCGCAATCATGATCAGCTTTCGAGGCTTACAGCAACCGCTCTCACGATGGCTTCAGGCACGAAGACTTTCCACATGAGTTCAGTGAAAGTTTCCACATATTGGGACTTGATCAAGGCTCCAATCCATTAACCAGGACTTTGGCTGGCCGGCAAGGGACAAAGACCAACAACATGGTCGGGCCAAGACAAGCACTACCGGCAGCCTTGCACGCAATCTAAGCCCCTGAGCCGATCGCAAACATTGACATGGGATGAAGTCCTCGTGTTCGAAGGCGTCTCAGATTTTCCGCGCCGCCCGCAGATTGTCTGATCAGGCATGACTTGTCAGAGAAGCCAAAGCCAATTCCTCCGGAGTGTCGCGTTGCGGGCGACTGAAAGATGACGAGCTGAGATTCGTTCCCTCGGGGTCTCCAAGCGAGGGGAAACTTCCCGTTTCAAACGGCCACTAAGCCTTAGCCTACGTTTCAGAGCACAGCGCACTGACCACAGCCTTTGCGAATCCCTTCAGGTTCCCAGCTGTCCCTATTGCTCAACTCTGCTGGTCTCCAGGAATTCATCCCCAGACGACCCAACAAACCCACTTGTACGCGGAGGATCACCCTTTTCGCGAAGCCCTACATTTGGGGTTCGTCCATACTTTCGCCAGTGTGTCGGCGATCAAACCGAGCATCACATCCTTGAATGATAGCAATCAGTACCTCCTGAACTACAGGGACTGAATGCGACTTTGGAAACCCCTAACAGTTCCATCGTGCTGCGCGGTGCCTTTGAAGCGACGAAGGCGGCAGGTCGGAATCGAGTCTGAATCATTGATCTTGATGCCAGCCCCTCGAGACAATCATATTTGGAAAGTCGGCTTGACAAACGAGGCGCAGTCTGCCGAATCAGCTTTTTCTTTGCTGGGGGATCGTTGGACCGTGGTCTTCTTTCTTCCGGCCGGTTGACCCAACAGAGCGGTACCTTGTGTTTGTGACCGTCTGATCGACGTCAAGCATCCAATTCACATTGTCAAATACAGCACTGCCTGCGTTGACAGCAAAGCTTCTGGAAACTGCAGTGTTCTCGACTTACAAGAATGAGGTTCAAAACGTGGCCGAGAGACGTGCCGCAATCCTGCATTTCTCACCGTTTTCTGGAACTTCGAATACACCACGGATGGGTATGCAAGCTGTCCAGAGACCGATGTTCCCTCCACAAGAGCTCTCGACGCTACGTGCGGCGCAGATGAGGTCGCGCAGAGTAGCACACCAGTTTTCTGAACCCGAAATTGCACGCCGAAGCGGCTCCGATGGCACTTGGACAATATTTTCCTCTCCTCTACGTCTTCTGCGTTGCTCGGACTCTTTCCGAGATACATTGTTCTGAATCAGATGGCTGCGATTTCTTAAGAGGGGCTCGCCCATGAGGCCGTCACAACCACCACGCGATTCTGCGGTCCCAACCCCCTCTTCACAGACACACCAGACGGCTAGTTCATGTCACACAGATAGAAAGTCTTCCCGCTTCTAGCAGCACGCAGGCGGACTAAGACACAGCCTGCCGTAGCACATCTGCAGATACTCGACAAAGCACTTTCTCCAATTTTCGCAGTCTCTCACGACTATCGCGGCAGTGGACCGCGGCGGCCGCATGGCGTTCTTCGAGCCAATCACCCACGTTCATGGTTTTGAGCATGGGCGCTTACGTCGCATGCCAACGTTGGACTACCTACTGCAATGCTGCATTGCTGCATTGCTGCAGTGTAGGTATCACGACAGAGCGTCCATCGTTCCCCAGCGCACGCTATTGACCTCGCTTACACCGCCTACAGCCGCGGTCTGCCGAGCTTGCTTGCCATTATCGCGCTAGCGATTGTCAGTCGGAGTCCTCTTCTGTTCCTTTGACCGTTTAGCTTGCTTGGCCTACTTGGCCACGAGGAGGGTCGGGCGTGGAATGCGCTTGTCGCCTACGTTGGACATGATGCGGTGAGGCGACGGTCGTGGTGTTGGCGCTAGCGACGCGGATGTCGGATGTTTGCTCATGATTTTCATAGTCTTGACACTGTTGGAAGCCGAACCGGATGAACAGGAAGGTGGCCAGCATGGCAGTCTGAACCCTGGTTTGGCTCTCACATGATTGATTCTACCTGCACCGGCGAGGCGTACTCCGAGTTGCTTGGACTTGTTGGTCCGCAGTTGAGCAGTGACGGTTGATGGTCATAGGGGCTTCAGGTTCCCTGTCGTGGCTATTGCGGCCGGTTAATGGCCGCGAGGCAGTCTTGATGCGTTTGGCACTCTTGCCTGGCTTTGCATGAGAACTTCCAAACCACCGAGCAAGAGAATGTCCAAGGCACGTCGGGGCCTCGGTCGCCTCATACATGGTTGATTCTTTGGCAGCGTTTGACGGGTCCAATAGGTGCCGCATGCGGGCCACCATCTCCGGCGATGTAAGCCACCTCTTTCTCGTGACAGATGAGCTTTACCATGAACCCCGCCATTTATATTTGGCTCGTCGTGGGACTGGTGGGCTTTTGAAGGATGAGGTGTGTGTGCTGACCGGACTTATTGGCAAAAGGTAAGGGTTGTGGGATGCATAAGCCTGTTTACAACACCAAGAGCATGTCTAATCCCACGAAGGGTCCATATTGGCTTTCAGTAGAGAACGCAGTTTCCGTTACATCCATCAGGAAGCAATTCGTTACCCTTCTGTCATGCGCAAGATTTCTGAGGGGCGGTAGACAGGTCGCTGCATGCTCGTGCGCTGAAGCCTGTGGGCCCATCATCTGGCTACACTATATATAGTAGCTTGTCGTCTCCCCACCCAACCAACTATCACTGGATGCCCACATCCACCAATCCCCGATAGTCTAGTGGTGAGGATATCTGCTTGTCACCGGGGAAATCCCACGATTCGCAGGGGACCGGGGTTCAATTCCCCGTCGAGGAGTTTCTTTTGCCTTTTTGCACCATCTTTGGTTTTCTTTTCAGCCTAAGAGTGCTTTCGGATGATTTTTTGGACTTGCGGACGACCTGATGGCGCGTCATCGAGGTTGATATGATGCCGCGGATACTCGCGATTCCCCTCAACAAGTGCATCCGTGGCAGGTCCGTGGGGATATGCAAGTATCGAATCAAGTGCAAGATGTCTCTAATTAAGCTGATGTTCTTTCAAGTGCAGGGCTGAAGGATAGTCTTTTCACTTTGTGACTGTGCTGTTCGCCCTAAACGTCGCCCACTGCTCATGCATTCGCTGCACTTGTCCAGGCGTAAACTCGTTCCAACAGTTACTACAGATCTCGTCAGTCCACCGCGCAACTTGGCCGACATATCTCCAGGTGACAAGACTTACTCTGCTTGATAGTTCATAAAGTTGTAGAGAGGATCCACGCCCGGCAAACCGGGACACGTATCCTGCCCAACCGTACAATTCCAAGACGGCGTAGCCTGCGCGGGCGTATCATCCACATAGTCCGTCCCGGTACATCCTCCCTGGAAAGTATGCGGCAGCCCGAACCAGTGTCCGACCTCGTGGACCGCCATGTACCCGCGATCGTTCCCCGTAGGCGAGTCCGCGCCGGGGACCGTGTTGGCGTCGATCTGGCACCCGTCCAGGATGAACGTCTCGGACCCGGGGAAGGCGTCGGCTTCCGGGTAGAAGCAGCGGCCTAGCGTCGGGTGGATGGCTTGCACGTAGATGTTGAGGGATTGGTAGGTGCCTTTGCGGAGCGCGGATTTCATGGCGAGTTCGTCGGTTGGGTTTGTGACTGTTGACCAGCTTGCGTTTACGGTGCGCGAGGTGCCGCTTAGGGTCATTGTGATGCCGTATTTGGTGAAGGTGTCGTGTAGGACTTGGAATTGCGCTTCGAGGGTGGCTTGCTGGGGCGTAGGTCAGTCTAGCCCGGCATGCTTCATCAACATACTAGAAAGACGCTCTTACACTCAAGAGAGCCGTCTGATTGGGGGCGACTGAATGGAGATAGACTGGGACGGAAATGTTGGCTGCTGGGAGGCTGCTCCCGCTGCTGCCCACGTCTCTGCCTGCTAGCGATCTTGCGATTTGTTTGTCGCTGGGGTCCGGAGTTCCGCAAAAGGAAGTTAGGGAGTACAGGGATGCCTGTGCCAGTGAGGCACTCAAGAGCAGAGAAAACAGCATCGCGACGGCTTTGGTCCGATTGCTGCGACAGTGAAGACTGTTTTGAGTCCGGAGAGGGCAGGTTCTCTCAGTGAGTGGCGATGTTTATTTTGGAAATCGAATAAAGATTCAACATGGGCTGATAGGGGATGATGGCACACGCGTAGCCACTTTGCCAAGGTTTTCGAAGATTTCGTATTCTCATTGAGATAGATTGGCGGAGGGGTTGTTTAGCACCCCATTGCAAGGATTGTTCGTTAGGGAAGGTGATAAGAAACGAATCCGAACCGACTTGCAAAATGACGTCGCTTGAGAAACATATTGCGATTCGTACATTTGTTTCTAGACGTTGACGACATGCTGCACCTGACATGGATGCAAGATGATTTCGTTACCTTTCCCAGTGTTTATGTGCATTACCACCGAGCGCTCTCAGAGAAAAGCTATTTGTGGCCTCGAAACTCTAACACATTAGCTTCGATGCGGTGCAACGAAGCCGGTCGTTCCGTTCCCTGAACAGAAAGCTAGCCTACGTTCATCACATAGAGATGATGCATCAGTGGGTTCCTTTTCTGAAATACCTAACCATACATGGCTGTCGAGTCAATGACAAACAAGCCGCAGAGAGAACCTTACACAATGCCAATGGCCACTCAGACGTTCTATTCCTTTTTTTCATTGACTATGTGCAACAAGACGTCGACCCACTTCGGAAAGTAGGAGACGCGCAAGGCAACGGCGACAAGAGCTCTATAATGCAGTTGCTCCCAGATCGCCTCGAGCGGGAAACCGAAGTTCATCCACACAGTAGATTCATCCTGCCATACATTGATTGGCCAAAGGGTTCATATCAAATGATGGGGAAAAGGCTACAAGACTGGGGATGGGAGATTCAGTGCGTTCTAGAGCCAGATACAGCGGAGACACGTTGAACTGCCGGGGTTGTGGAGGTCTCAATGTCTTCCGGGAATGAAAACATGTAGGTTGCAGGCGAGATTCTGTCTGCAATGGGGCTCACTCATGTGAATTCGTGAAGACAAGCCAGCTGAAACGTACAAGACAGACGTAGAAAACTTTTAGGTCATGATTATGAAGTGATAACCGTCCTGTTCTTGTCAGATTGTGTGGGTTTCAATTCGCATAGCATACACTCCACATATCCTTACCACCATCGGACTGCCTTACTTCAGCCAAGAGGAACAACAGTGGGCGTAGAAGCTCACAAATGTGTCTTGGAGTGACGCCCCATCTCTTCGCTTCGAGGCAGGCTGTGCAAGGATGGGAATCCCTCGGCTTTCGGCAGCCTGCTGCTCATCACCATCATCATCCAGCCTGGTCTCAGTCTTTCTATCTCTCAACCTCGCTTCACAAACAGTTCTAGACATAGGCGATATGGTCACCTGGGATGAGGATATCAACTTCGCGAGCGCTTTGCTTCTGCACAGTTGCCTGACCGTTCTCATTAAAGAAGTTGTCGGAACCTAGCAGTGTTGATCTTGATGCCTTTCGGGAGGAGATAAACGTCAACTTCTTGAGCGTTGTCGACATGTCGGTCAAATTCCTTCCGAGACTCCAAGAGAAAGCAATCCCGACAAGTTTGATCATTACCGGCACTCACCTTGCTCTGATTCCGGCAGTGACTTTACCAGCATACTCTGCTTCCAAGGCAGCTCTTCATGCCTTTATCTACTCTCTGAGACAACAACTACAAGGGTCTAGCACTAAGATCGTAGAGATCTGGCCTCCCTTAGTGCAAAGTCAGTCGTCAAATGTGCTATTTTTGATATACAGGACAATACTGACAACACCACCAGCCGAATTGCACGATTACATGGGCGAGGAGAAAGGTCGATCGATGGGAATGCCTGTTGACGCGTTTACCAATGAGACATACAAGCAACTTGTTTCGGGCACTGAACATATTCTGGTTGGCTCAGTCGGCCTGGAAGAACCATTCCTGCAGTTGGTAAAGGCAAGACAGAAACAGTCGGATGATCTGTCAAAATTCATGCTCTCACACCCCTAAAGTAGATAGTGAGAGAAGATGCCAAAAGCTTGATAGTCTTGGTGATCCACTCGAATCCTCCCACTGTTCGATCTTACCGTGGATCAGATGTAACTTAGGTCACAATGGAACAACATTGAGGTGGCCAAGCGTGTTCAGAATGTCATTGAACCATCTTTGCAGGATAAGTGGTCATCCCTGGCGATGATCATTTGATACTTAATTCTTGGGACAATACCTAGATCCTAAGTGAAGATCACGCTTTACACGTGCACGCAAATCTTGTAAAAACATGGTTTGGCTATTAGGTCCCATAACACTTGGCTGCAGTTTGAAACCTCAGGTTCTTGCTATTCTCTTTTACGTGACTTGTTCTGATTATTGACGACATATTTTTACATCTCGGCACGCCTATTTCAGCAACAATTGCCACGATCACTTTAGCCGAATGAGAAATCGACATAGTGTCATGTTCTAGCGATTTGAGTGTACTTGCTATTTTCAGACTTGATCAAATACATGTAACTCAATGATAGGTAATCATGGCCTAGAAGTAGCTGGGTTGCAACGCAATCAAAGTACTGACTTTTGGCGCTTCGCGTACCCGCTTTCCCAGAACCCAGGCCAGTAATCAGGAACTTCCTCAAGGATAAACCTCGAAAGAGCTGCGCTGGTCTCAGCCGGCTTCTCCATGTTTGCCCAATGTCCAGCTTGAATAGTCACTTCGGTGAGGTTACTACACGCCTGGCGCATTGGCTCGGCTAGCCGGGTGGTCTTGGTCTCGCACACGTAGTCGAATGCTGCATGGATGAGCAAGGCAGGCTTCTCAAATTTGCCATCGTTTGGTGCCTTTGAGTTGAACTCGTGGTTGCGCTCATGGTTCATGTAGTAAGCTGATCCCGGCCAGTACCCCGTCTTCTTCATCGCCTTAGTGAACTCATCAAAGACCTCACCCTCGAGGAGGGGAGCTGGAATTTGATCTGGGGATGGAGGTTGTGAGATCCCGCCAAACCATCCTCCGTCCTTTCTGACAGTGGAAGTGAATGTGGGCTTAGGAGGATAAACTGGCTTGCCTGGTTGCCACAAAGCCTTGTTGATCCCCTCGATATCTTTCTCATACCAGGCGACAGCCTTTTCAAAATCTTCTTCGTAATGACGCATGTAGTCCCATTGTCCGTAGGGGTATTGGTCTTCGGGATAAACCTGGCGGTCGACAAGGGCCAGTATTGCGTTCAGCCCCAAGTCAAGTGTGCGATACGGAACACAGACATTCACCAGGGCCTTGACAACTTCCGGACGCTGTGCTGCAACAGTCGAAACGCACGGGGAACCCCAGTCATGACCGATCCAGACGGCCTCCTTCCGACCAGTGTGTGCGAGGAGTGCTAGTAGTCCTTCGAGAATACTCTGCTGGGAGTAATCCTCGATAACTTTGCGAGCTGTCGATTTGCCGTATCCGGGCATGTCCGGCGCGATGGCCCGGAAACCTAGAGCGCTGAACGCCTCAAGCTGAGGTTTCCATGCAAATGAAATCGCCGGCCAGCCATGGACGAATACAAGGAGAGGTCCATTGACTGGACCCGCAGCGAGGTAGTGGATATTCTTGTTGTCGGCGTAGCCAACGTCGTATTCCTCGAAGGTAGACATTGTGAGTTTTGAGATGAATTGTGTTGGGACGTGTTTCAGCAGACAGGTTCGGGAGCTTGGTTCTTATACTTCATCTCATACCTAAGGTAGTCATTTTGGAGTCAAGGCTGGAGTATGACCAAACCTAAAACTCCGCAACTAGATGCATGCCTATCCGTGGACCTGATGGAACGAGGGATGTGTAGATCACGTCCACAAAAAGTAAGATGAGGTGAGCTGAGTAAAACGTCGCTGCATATGCAACCACCTGTCGACAGCGAAAGTGGATACATTTTGTTCCCGCTTCGACCGAATGGTCGACTGGCCGATCTGGGCGTTGCTGAGTGGTCGGAGTCCTTGTAGGCCGCGGGCCAAGTTTCGGCTGGATTATTAATACCTGCATTGGCGCATGTGCATGTTAGCTTGTGTCACCCACCTTAGAATCCCCGCAATGCCCGGCCACTCTGTCGTGGAGGCACTGTTCTTTCAGTCCAGTCAGCATCGGGGGTCAAAAGCATACCTAGGCAGAACATACATTCAATGTGGGCAATATGATGTGTCTTCAACCGCCCCTTAAGTGCCCAATGAGGCGCACTTAAATACAGGGCCGAATGGTGCGGAACGTATCAATTAGCCGAAGAGTTGAGGGAAGAAACCAGTAACGACCATCGTTGCACCCCCTTGCTTGTCTCGAAGTGGGGTGCTATTGCCAGTGCAGTGCTGTGATGTTGTCAAGCCAGCTTCCTTACCAAGCTGAGCCAGGTCCTTGTTCACAGAGATACAGCAAGATGTAGATTGAATCAAGATATTGCGTCGAATCCCATATAACTATCAGATATTTCCAGTCAATTCCTTTTGCGGGCAGGCAAATGAGGTTTAGCGACGACTCCTCGTGGTCTATTTCGTCGCGGGTCCAATTGGAAGCAGCGTGACTACAGTCTTGTTCAGGCGATGTCAGCAAAGCTTCATCAACAGACCACCTCCTTCGCAGGAGGGGGTGATTCCGCGGAAACGATTCTCTGACTCACCACGTTATCTGACCAGATTGGCAGCAGCTTACACTCGGCCGAACTGCCATTTTGCCAGCACGCAGTGAGCATCTCTACTCTACCTTACCTAATAAAAGTACCTTCTGTTCATCACGCTATCTTGACACCGCCTCGAAGGCGCCACCTAACATTGACCTCACTTACCGTCAACGTAATGTTAAAGCCAGTTGTCCTAAGCATTGAGAAACTATCCATACGTCGCCGAGAATCTGAAGCACATGTTCACCACGTGCCAAGAACTGACTGATGATATAATTTGGTGGGTTTACCCCGAATGCAACATTGCCGAATCGAGAGTAAACCATCGGCTCCAAGGTAGCTTGCCAGGCTTATGAGGTTACTCTCGCAAACCTAACATCGGATTTATCGGTTCTTTCCTAGCCCGGTTTCCTCTGGAAGCGCACACTCTTAAACATTGCAGAGAATCCTCAAGTGCACTCAAGACATTTGGGTCGGTGTTATAACGGGCCCGCGTGCGGCAGCAGCCATACCCCGCCTCCGGAGCAGACTAGGATTACTGATTAATTGACAAGCCATTCAGACTCAATACATGTATCTCGAAAGCTTGGGTTCCGCTACTGGGTTGAAGAATATGGAGCTGATAACAAGATGCTTGCGCATCTCCCCGCTAATTATAGTTGAATAGTAAACATCCAACAAGAGAGAGATGGATCCACTAAGCTGACAATGACTCACTTAGACAGAAAGATAGATCCCTTAATGCCCACTAGAATATGGTCAGTCAGGCAGAAATCCACAATCGCCATGATCCCCGCGACTTGACATGTTTGGAATCATGGGCCAAATCACGTATTTCAAAACTAGCACCAGCATCCACCGGCCAAGTTTGACGGAAGCCATTGCCCTGGAGTCACAAAAGACCTATATGCGGAATCTCGTTTCGTAGAACCCCCATAATCCTTGAATCTTCGGACTACAATATCGGCTAGAATCAATCTGAAAACCCCTGTCTCCGAGGACAAACAAGCGTCGATCTTTGGACGTCTAGACGAATTTCCATTCCCATACACCTCGTTCGCTCTTACATTGTACCGAAAAGTTCTAATACGCAGCCCCCAAGCGAAATTTGGAGGGCCAACGTGACTGCCGAGGGGGAATGCAGGTCTACTGATGGAGACGCCTGGTTGGACCCATATGACGGAAAGTGGATGGCGCCCACCGGATACTCCCCCCACCGGAACGCTCTCCAGGCTAGCACTACTGCCCCCAGTTCAGTGTGGCCTGGGCTGGATATCTGGTGAACGAGAGAAAGAAATAGCACCTCTACAACTTGTCTTCCGTAATGAGAGATTCAAACGTGTTACGTGTTTGTGCCATGGTCATATTGAAGAAAAGCTCCCAAGCAGACGGAGTTAGGATTGTCAAAATATCGGGACGAGTAAGGTTGTCGATTGGCCTCCGTGAGCTTATCTGACATGTACTCATCTCGTAAATGTGCGGCCTAGCATGAAGCAGAAGTTGCAGTGTCTCGATATTTGCGAGTCGTCCAGGGATGGATAATCATGCTGTCATCCTTTCGCGGAAGAGAGGGGGATGACCCGGGGTTGTGTAGATCTTTGCTGGTGGTGTAACCCCAATCTCCTCTTCTACGTACAATCCATGAAAAATGCGGAGGGTAGCAACCCCTAATGCGCCCTCTCTCCACGTGCGGGGCCCCGCACACTTACACGCGTGGCATTTAGGTAGGAGTGAGCATAATGAGATCCGTAAGCTATGATTGAGGACCTCATTTGAAGGGGGAGGCACATTCTAATTGTCCAGTAATACGAGTATACAAGACCGGACTCAATTCAGATCTCGGGTCAAAGAGTGACGGAGCTAAGAAGGTTATGGATGTTTATGACAGTCGTGTTGTATTTTCTTGCGGGGGGCTTGATCCAATAACCATATAATTGGATGTCTTAGACTTCACCATATTTTACTATTTAATCCCGTTCTGAGCTCCGAGTACTAGAATTTGAAAACCAAACCCTTGGACAACTTTTCCGTGCCTCTTTACTAAGCCGAGCTGCCTCTCTGAATCAATTTTGTCACTTACCAGACATCATCACCGAGATGAAGACGTCCAATATCCTAAGTTTCCTAGGCCTCTTTCTCGTCAGCGCATCTGCTGTTCCAAATCAGAATTATGTTGATTGGAAGACCTTCAAGGCCAATGGAGTCAACCTCGGTGGCTGGCTAGTTCAAGAAGCCGTCCTAGACGCCGGATTCTGGAGTCAGTACGGCGGCAATACCACCGACGAGTGGGGATTTTGCGTCCGTCTTGGCTCGCAATGTGGTCCGGTCCTGGAACGACGCTATGCAACCTATTTCCAGCCCGCCGACATTGACAAGCTCGCCAAAGCTGGTGTCACCATCCTCCGCATCCCGACACACTACGCTGCTTGGATCAAGGTTCCTGGCTCCCAGTTATACACCGGCAACCAAATTCAATTCTTGAAGAACATTGCGACATATGCCATCACCAAGTACAATATGCACGTCATCGTCGATGTTCACTCCTTACCAGGTGGGCTCAACGGGCTGGGTATTGGAGAGAAGGACGGCAACTATGGGTGGTTCAACAACGAAACTGCCCTGGAATATTCATACCGCACCATAGATGCCGTCGTTCAGTATGTTCAAACCTCCGGGTTTCCTCAGTCATACACCATTGCACCCCTGAACGAGCCAGTGGACAACCGCGACTTCTCCAAGTTCGGTACGCCGGATGCACTTAGCATCAATGGTGCTGCTTGGGTTGCAAAGTTTATCAACGGAGTCCTCTCCCGAGTCGCAGCTCTCAACCCGAAGATTCCAGTCATGGTACAAGGCAGCTTTCGTCCCGAGACGTTCTGGTCGCCGTATTTCCCTTCTGACGCAAACATCGTTTTCGATTCCCATCATTACTACTTCGCCGGCAGACCAACCACATCTGACAACATACCGACTTTCATCTGCGAAGATGCCAAGGGGTCTATCAGCGATGGGAAATTTCCCGTCTTCATCGGCGAGTGGTCGATTCAGGCTCTCAGCAACAACACTTTTGCCAGCCGGGCCAAGAATCTGAATGATGGGCTTTATGCTTGGTTCAAGTATACCCAAGGAAGCTCATATTGGACCGCCAAATTTTCTGGAACCGACCCAGTCAATGGTCAAGGAACTCAGAGCGATTATTGGAATTATGAAACCTTCATTGATTTGGGTGTCATCGACCCAGCGTCTTCTGTGGGATTTTGCGCCTAGCCTTGAGGAATTCCGAGCCAACGATTATTTAAAAACGCGCGAAGCAGCATGATAAATCTTTTCGAATTTGATTGACTCATCCATAGCGTGGTGGCTATTGTGCTCGGCATTCGCATCCCTGAAAAAGTTCATACCTGCCTCGTCGATTTCTCGAGTTCCCGAGAAACTCTTAAATATTAGCTAGAAACGAATTCAATACATGATCACTGGGCCATTTTCACTGATCTAATATGCTCGTTGAGGTGACTCTGGTCAAGACAGCCTACAGGTTGAAAACTTAGGGTTATGTATTTTCCGGTGAATTGAAGCTGTTGACTATACCCACGCCGCTTATCCCTTTGTTCTAAGTATGATGCTTCGTATTTAGCTGCTTGACCACAGTCGTCGTATGAGTCAACAGCGACACATACTGAAGAAGGCTTCATTTACCCTTCTTATGAGCCTCAATCTTCTTCTTGAACAGCTCAGACATGAACTTCATCCGCATCCACTCAGGCATACAATCAAAGAGTACCAACTGGACTGCATGTTTGAACCAAGGTGTCATTTCCAGCATGCCCCTTTGAGTTGCTCTGCCCGCTCTCTTCAAGGCGGCCTTGGCGAATTCTCTGCCGTCTGGTGAACCCGGTGCCATGGCTACAGCGTTCGACTGCGTCTTCACGTCGCCAACCACAAGGCAAAGCACATCGACCTTCTTCTTTTCGGCTTTCATCTCCCTCGCGATGGCGTTGCTGAAGGAAGAAACGAAACCCTTAGTTCCAGAGTACACGGCCACGCCAGGCATTCCCATTCTGCCGCCGGAGCTGACGTTGAGCATCAAAGAAGGACCGTTCTTGGCGAGGATTGGGAGCATAAGTCGGGTCAACTGTGCCATGAATCGCGCGTTGAGGTTGATGGTGCCGTCCACCTCTTCGCCAGTGAAGTCTTGCAGATGCCAGATCGCCGGCGGTCGAGCGGACACACCTCCAACGTTGTTGACCAGAACAGTGATTTTCAAGTCATCCATGTTGTCGACAGCAGCCTGCACCTTTTCGGGTGTGCTGGTGATGGCATCGACCTTGAGGATACGGACGGCGATCTCGTCCTTGTGTCGACGGAGACACTCCGATTCGATGAGAGCGCGGGCGTCCTCCAGTTCGTCTTCGTTGTTGCCCAGTAAGACGATATTAAAGCCTTGAAGCGCGAGTTCTTGCGCACATCCCAGTCCGATGCCTGCGGAGGCGCCGGTCACGAGTGCCCAGGACTCATATGAGCCCTTCCTCTGATATTTTTTCAATGACACAGAAGGAAGAATCCATATCGCAATGGCGTCGTAGAGCTTGTAGGCAGAATAGAGAATCCAGATGAGGCCGATGGCCTGCAGAGTCTGCTCAAGCATGATGGTGGTTGCTGAGCTCGATGAGTTGTCGGAGGAGCTGCGATGGAATTGAAAGAAGAAAGCCGCAGGTTTCAATTAGGATGAGACGAAAGTCTTTCAGCGGGAACTGCCAGGAGGGCTATCGCCTAATCACTCGCTAACGCGTCTCCGCTATGCTAGCGGCGTGGGGACAAGACCGTGCCCGGCCCGAGCATTGACTGTCATCGTGCACCTCATCTGATGTTAACATAGCGTGTTCGGAGTCAAGTCAAGAGAAACGACGCTCGACTTGTATTTGGAGAGCTCGCCTTTTATCGGAATATGCCGGCCTTAGCTCCCTGACTAAATGATTCAAGACACCGGCCCAGCTGATCTATTGTGTAGGGAATACTTGGTGGTTTACTACCTAGTTCAAACCAGCATACGCAGCTAGGCTGGTATTTACGCAGACGCATCTCCTTCTCCTTGTGGCATCGATAGTGCTGCCTTGCCGATGATCTCCTTGAGCTCGTCCTTCAGCGTCTGTCTGAAACTTTTGTCTTTGAAGCAATACATGATTGACAGCAGCGCGTGGTACTTCATCGCGTACACAGCGTTTCTACCGTCAAAATCAGCCGTGGGCTCAGCTGCAGGTATTCGCTTAAGGTATTCGCGAATACACGGTTGACCAAGCTTGTATCTTGGGTTTCGGCAGATGCCTAAATCGGCTAGAAAGTCCCTCGGGGTTAACCCATGAAACCACAGGATCTCTACAGCCTTGAGAAATCTTATTACTGACCCTCGTTGTGTCCCCAAAATGCACAGGCGTCAAACACACATAATCCATTTGAGGATTTCTTCGGCTTGACATTCCCAGGCCATAGATCAGAGTGAATGAGGCAGGGCATGACAGATCGTCCTTCTCTTTCAAGTGGAGCAAGGTATCTCGAGATCACTTCGTGGAGAAATATCATCTTGAGCGCTGTCAACTCATCGTCCATGCCATGAACGCGGTCGTCCTGGTCGAACAGACCCTTCATCTGCTGTCTCCAGAATGATTCCCAAGAAGAGTTCCACGAGTTGTTGACTGGAACATTGGCAAGATGAGTAGTGACATGAAAGCCGAATTCTCTGGTTGAGCTTTTCCCCATGCTGTTAGCATGGAGATCCCACACAGAAGCCGCCCAATCCCCAGGGCTGGGGAGGTCTTCTCTCATTTCCACGAACTGGCTGAGATAGAAGTGCGTATTTGGATCGATGGTGTATGTTCCCCAACCGATGGGCTTTGGGACCTGGCCTGGAGAAAAGGTGTATAGAGCCTGTTCAGCTTCGAATGTGCCTCTCATCATCTCCATTCCAATTGCACCACGCGCACCCTACGCGAGAGTGAGAACTAATTTGGTCCAAACGGGAGTCCATTAATCACCTTCTTGAAGTACTCTTTCATCGTTCCATCTTCCAGCTGAACCACAATCTGAACCGTGGCCACCCAAAGACTATGGCCTGATGGTGCCACTTTGAGTACACTACAGCCTGTTGGAAGCTCTGTTATGATGTCAAGGCGTGAGCACACTGAGTTCGAACCCGGACCTAGCAAGGTTGAAAAGAAGGTACACACTAGCAAAAACAGCGTCATCAAGCTCACAGCCTTCGCCTGCATGCTCTGCCTGGTCTAGGTATCCGCTCTCCATGCTTGGTGGAGGTGTTGAGGAGCTGGTTAATTAGGTTCGGCTCGGAGTCTAACGCGGGGTAGTGGCTGACGAAAGGAGTAGCCAGGGAGAGGTCCAATCCTCGCCATCCTGTAGCCGCCCGGCTCCTTACGCGTGTGGTTCCCGCGAGCCCAATCACGTGGGGGCAAGAGAGACCCTGTCCAGTCGCCGGTATCTTCGCAATTGCTGTATCTTGAACCTCAACATGAGAAGCGACTCTCTGTTTCTCTCGTTCATTGCCAAGTTTCCGGCATCCTGGTTCTACATGCAGTCTTGATGGTCGTTACTGGCGCCATGTCGATTGACAGAGGCCATTCGTCATCTGTATGTGCGCCCTCATCCGTGCTAGTATCTTAGATCCCGTTCTCCGTCCCCCGCTTAATTCGGTAGCTCGAAGCTAATGTTTTCGTCGTACCAGCTGGCTGGTATCACTGCTGAGCCGCCGTCACTCTCTCCTAATCTCGGAAGTGATGAAAGTCGAGTTCGTGCGCCATCCTTCGGCCCGCTACAACACCGGTTACGGAAGCTTAGCGCGCGTTTCTCTCGGTCTTCGAGATCCGACAGCTCATGTAGTATTCAATCACTTTCTGCTGCTGATATCAAGGGAGCCCTCGGTCTGAACTTGCTTCATGCGCCCTCGGAACCAGCAATCGAAGCTCACTGCACAAAGGCTCAAGACATACCTGGGCCGCCTAGCCAGATGTCAATCTCCTACCAGCACGGAGTTCCACACTATCGCAACATGGGCAAATGATATCTACCACATCCTCGCCGTATTCCATTCTATTCTTCTCACCTCTCCATCTTCAATCTATTTTCTCATCCCGCATTTCTGCCCACCCAAGTCGATGATTGGGCAGATCTTCGCAAAGTCAACCAAGCGACTTCGAATTGCTGGTCCGAGAGAAGAAGATTGGAACGACAGATTGACGGGGTACATATTCTCAGAAGAGGCGTATGCAATCGCCTGCTGTACTCGCCTACTGGCTGTTGGTCTTGCCAGCGGAGAGATCAGATTATTCCACCTTGCTGGGTCGGGGGCATTCGATGCAGCTGCTACATTGAATCACGGGAAGAGGGTTCGTCTGCTTGCCTTCAACCGAGCTTCTTCAGTACTAGTCTCATGTAGTTCTCGAAACCTACAAATATGGGACACCCACCGGTCTCCAGAACCTATCAGGCTATCTCCCGTTTGGTCACGAACTATCGACTTCACTCCAGGATCAATTTCATTCGACCATGACGAAGAAATGATAATTCTTTCCAATCCTCATGGTACCTCTTTGGTGATTTACGATATCAAAGATGGAAAAGAAGCAGAGCGCAAACTTTTGCATGCCCCCTCGGTCTGGGACTCAGACTCGTCGGATGAAAACGATAACAAACTTGGTTTATGGACACCAGCAATGCAGATACGACTCGACTCGGACCACAAGCTTGCAGCGTTATCTTACAGACATGCTTCAGTCTCAATCTGGGACTTGAATACTTCTGTCTGCGTCGGCAACTTTGAGAAAGACAATTTCAACTATGTTTACGCTACCTCACAAGTTCTGGACATGGTGTTCAATCCAATTGCTGAGGTCGAGCTGCTAGCAATATCATACATGGACGGCGACGTGGTAACTTGTAATCCATGGACACAAGACCAAGCAAACAAGCATCACCTGCAAACATTGCTATCTGCTCTATCCACTAGCTCCGATGGCAGGGTTCTCGTAGGTGCTGCAGAGGATGGAGGCATCTACCTTTTCCTCTTTGAGACCTTGCAGCCAATTTACCACATTCAACTACCAGGAGATCAACTAAGGATCAGAGATATCGCATTTTCAGCAGATAATCTCCGTTTTTACGACATCCGGGGGCAATGCTGCAACGTCTGGGAGCCGGTTATCCTCCTTTCCAAAGAGGAGTACGATGACGACTTCCTAGAAATTTCATGTTCCAGAGAAGAAGTTCCCCTTCCGGAAATAAAAGCATCCTGTTCTCATGTGTATCAGTGGGGAGAAAGCATCACGGCCATCGAGCCAGCCAACGACATGTTACTCGTCGGGCGTCAGGATGGCACAATTGATGTCAGTGATCTGACCACCGGCGAGATGGTCGAGAAGCTCCGGATTCACGATGCATTTGCAGAGATAAAATCATTAGACTGGAACGAAGACACGTGTACGCTTCTCAGTATCGACACTACCTGGCGTCACATTGTCACCAGAGTTACTTCCCTGGGGAGTGGACCTGGAGCACAACTTACTTGTTTGCTCAACCGCAGAGGTGATAGTGATACATCTCAGATAATCCTGAGTCCAAAAACCGAATCACTGCTGGTCTGTACACATTCAAGTGCGACGTTAATTGCTCTCAACGGCACTGTCATGGGAGAGGAGAAGGATCTCAAGGGAGCCTGGTGGTTGAAACATCCATCGAATCCTTCCCATCTACTCGCCTTCCGAGACAACCATTTTCATATCTATGAATGGTGTAATCTGAAGAGAGTGTGCAAAGGAATCAACCTATCGCCGAGCCCCCAAATCCAAGTTACAAAGGGTTGTCCTTCATGGATCAGCAGCAAAGGCTCTGACTACGTAGCCCAGGGCTTTTCCAACGCGACGGAGCTAACTAGCGGCATTATCGCCGTCGAAGCTTCCAAGATTACACCTTTAACAGAGGTGATTCCGACTCGGATTTTACGTATTACATCTACGTCTCTACAATCAGTGATTGGATGTATTAAATCGAGTCTGCTTTTCCTCGATACGGCTGGATGGATTTGCTCAATTAGCCTCAACTACATGGCAGATGCGCAACATTTCACGCGACACTTTTTTATACCACTAACATGGCGTAGTGAGGCTGATGCAGTGATCAAGATTGTTTCAAAGACAGCGATTGCGTTCGGAAGAGGGGAGCATTTGATGATCTTTCACGGGTTTTTGGAGTTCGAGGAAAGGATACCGATATAAAATGTAGGGAGGCAGTAAACCGTGCTCTTTCTATTCAATGAACCGTCATGATTTCCACTATATGCAATGGACTTATGTGTTACGTTTGCCAGGGTAGCATCCGTAGAGTCTCGAGAGCTGTGCCATCACTGTGCAGCACGTTGACGTAATTAATGCCAACCACCATTTTCCTTGTCACCTGACGTATAATTGCCGAATTTGTCAGTCCCTATTGTCTAAAACGGCTCTCTTTGATTAAGATAAGTGCGATGGTGGTTGTTTGAGCAGAGATCAACCTCCCCTACTGCATTAATATTTCTTTGCATGAAACACCGAAAAATATGACCAGAAGACTGAAGTGAATAATACCGGGTCAGTCAGAATTTATTTAATCCATCCATAATCACGATTAGCCACAAGAGGCGGTCTTTACATAATCTACGGTATTCAAGATGGCTGCCGCCGAGTCATCAGAAATGCCAGTCAAGCAATCCCCCAACGACGACAAAGAAATAGCACCGTTCGCCGAAATAGCGCCAGAAGAGCCGCATTCAATATTCACAACTAGCGAGAAGAGATGGATTAGCTATGCTGCTTCCTTCGGCGCCATGTTCTCCACCTTGAGCAGTTACATCTACTTTCCAGCTTTAGCCCCTATGGCCGTTGATCTCAACGTCTCCATTGCGCTCATCAATCTCACCGTCACCTCATATCTGATCATAGCGGGCATCGCACCGGCCTTCATGGGCGATATCGCCGATCAAGGTGGTCGGAGGCCCGCATACATTCTTATGTTCACTCTCGTCGTTGCGTCAAATATTGGATTGGCGCTGCAGAATTCGTACCCTGCTCTACTCATTCTACGTATGGTGCAAAGCGCTGGAGCATCTGGTAAGTATACGAAACTGTGGTAACTCATTATGTACCACATAGCTGAGTCAATAACAGGTTCATACGGCGCAGCATATGGGATTGTTGCAGACATAACAACAGTCGATGAACGTGGGTCTTATGTAGGGTCTATGCTCGTTTTGTAGGTCGATTCTTAAGAACATCTGCTAAGCCGCTTGTTCTTTGGTCAACTTCCTTGTCATTTTTTGCTGATCGGATTGATAAAGTACCAACGCTGCTCCAAGTTTTGGTCCGGTCATCGCCGGTTTACTCACGGAGAACCTGAGTTGGAGATGGATATTCTGGTTTCTGGTCATATTGACTGGCACTTACCTGCTCATCATCATCACTCTACTTCCAGAGACACAACGTCGAATTGTAGGGAATGGAAGTTTAAAGGCCCACAGGATTCATAGAAGTCTGTTTGATTCTCTCACCCGGGACCGAAAGATCGACTCGGTAGGGCAAGTTCAAGGACTTCAGGACGGCAAGCGGCGATACCACATCCCCAACCCCTTCAAGTGCATTGCGATGTTGTTTTCCAAAGGCAACTTCAGCGTCATTCTGATAGGTTCTATAACCTATGCAGTCAAGATGACATTGCAAAGCTCACTGTCAGCTCAGTGCATTGATGTCTACAAGTTGAATTATCTAGAAGCAGGGCTCATTTACCTACCTTCAGGGCTAGGAGGTGCGATAGCATCATATACGACAGGTCCGTAGTACATAGACGCCTCATTCTTGTACAACACGACTTGAACATCACCTTGACTGACGGGTTCGCAGGTAAACTTCTAGACAAAAACATCCAGAGGGTATCCAAGAGGCAAGGAAGAGACAGCCGATATCGTCGAGGCGATGACATATCGGACTTTCCAATCGAAGAGACACGGCTTGCCGGGATCTACATGCTAGTTGCTCTAAGCTCAGTTACCACCGCAGGCTACGGAGTCAGTCTTATGCAAGAATCGGTATGTAGTACATCACGGACTGGTCTCCGGCTTGGGTTAGGTGCCCTCAGCTGGCGACCTCCGGAGACTAGGGCCTTTTTAACCGTACTAGCACATTGCCGTTCCTTTGGTGATGCAATTCATCAGCGGTGCCACCACCTCGAGTATATTCACAGTCAGTACAAATTTTCAAGTCAACTACCATGTTTCACAGTTCCTAATTCATCGCCTTCAGATTTGCGGCACCCTTTTGACGGATTTGAACCCTAGGGCCTCAGCAACAGTCCAGGCGTCGTACAACCTTGTACGGTGCATTGGAGCGGGCGCCGCCATCGCGGCTCAGCAACCCTTGACAAACGCCACGAGCTTAGGCTGGAGCTTTGGTATATTTTCACTAATTATGTTATTGCCAGCCCCGTTGGCCCTGCTGCTCAAGAAAAAGGGTGTCGGATGGAGGGTATCAACGAAGACCTGACTCCTAAGGAGAGTCAGACTAAGAAACTTCTTGTCTTCCACTGCCATGCCTCACTGAGAGCTTCTCGGATCCTCGATCTGGGACAAGCAGACTTTGATTGTTTACAAGCGTGGCAAGAAAGATGTACCTCGTAGGGTTCATGTTATCATCGGCCATGTAGGAGCCCCGTCGCTTGGGATAATGACCTGAACGAGAACTGCCGATTGAGTGCGGGAAGTGCGGGGCGTTCGTATTATTATTGCTTATTATAAGCCCATTCGAGACTGACGTAATCGCGAGATCGCTTAGTGCTGTGTTGTAGCACGCCACGTTGCTACAGCCTCGTGGCATGACCGCCGTGTATGTGTCCAAACTCTGGCGGGATGTCAAATATCCGAAGTCATCCCTGTTTCCCCGTCTGCCCATGAATCAGATGTGGTAACTGTTACCTGGTGGTGGCGTATGCCACTTGTATGTATGTCTCATCAACTCACAGCCTTGTCATCGCTTTCTTTCCAACATACTTCGCTGTATTGACGAGCGTTTGTGTGCATCCAGGCATTGTCAGTAGTTTCTGTAAGCACATGCAATATGTAGTGTCCCGTCATCCATGAGCATCAACTTTCTTTCAGTTCAAGGCAACGCAGTGGGCTTCAAGGACCTCCTCTTATCAAAGGCCGACAGATGGACAACCTTAGAGCACTCTGTTGGTGATGTAGTAGTGTATGTGTACGATTCTACTCAACGTAACCTTTCATATGAGAAAAGCACTTTCAGAACTATCAGCTCAGCTTGTGCAGCCACCGGCGCCACTTGTTTTACTCATGATAAGCCGAGAACATGCAGTGTCTTTCAATTTGTACAAGCTACTTAGTACGCTGCATTTAGCCTTCATTTAACCTTTAGACTTCGAAAAGAGGTCTTGGGCTATTCCGATCCAGAATATTCCTCTCGGGCTTCGAATGTCTGCCTGTAAAATAATCCACTAACCTACACCGTCCTATTTATAATATGTCAAGTTCCTGGATAGGCCGTAAGTTTCATCTATTGATGATGTGTTCTTGTTACCGGCCTCCTTTGTCCGCGTCAGGTCGCCGACCTCACCTCCTTACATCACACCCTCCTTTCCCGTCACTTGCGTTCAGCTCCTATCAATGTCATGCCCATAGCCAGCTCTAATCAAACCAATGAGTAAGTTTAGAGCAAGACAATGTCGCATGACCTGGATCTGGCCCCTCAGACTTGGCTCACTAATAGCTACTGGAGGATCCTCTCTAGACTTTAGGTACTTGGTCAATTCCGCCATCAGCTGGTGGCTCTACAAGCTTGTCCAGCCTAGTTTCCAGCCTTCTCTCTAGCTGCAAAAAATGTCGTTGCCCAAGTTTTACTGTTCAAGGACTGTATCTGCAAACAGAACCAAAGCTGCTGCGGTAGAAAACCTCCATCATTCCCAACTTATGTGCTCTCTATGTTCCTTCCCACTGCAAGACTAGACCACGTTCAAACCATTCTGTCTCATGCCACTACTTGACTTTATCTTCAACTTTTGAGTTCTGAAAGCCACTCTTTCACACTCATGTGATCATCATGATTTCGATTCCAACTACTCTGCCATTCGTCGGGTTCCTGGCTGCGGTTGCCGCACTTGAAAACGTCCGCTTCGCAAATTCTCCTGCAAATTCGGCCAGGCTTGTTGCAGAAACTGCTAAGGCCGACGTGTGGCCAGCGTCACCGACGACTCCTCCACAACTACGCTTCGCTGCGATACCTCTGAAGCCGCGGGATAGCAGTCAAAATTGCGGTTATTTCGAGACAGGTGAGTCTGTTATAGTACTTCTCAGACCATCACTTCTCCTTCATCTCCCCTTCCATCTTGTCTTTTGATCCATTCCAGAGTTTTCCCCCTTCTTTTTGACAGGGCCGCCTCTAACGTGTTTGACAACAGATGGTGATCCCTGGAATTGCGGAGATCTGGCCTGCAGTACGAGAGGCAACATCTTTGGCTGTGGATCATCTCCCTGGGCATCATGCCTAAACTATGATAGCCCCATTTGCTCACAAAATAGTCAGGGGTCCTTGACTGCTTGCTGGTTCGTTTCTTCCTGATCGCTTTATCGCCTTTACGAGTCAATCCTTTCAAGATGGTTAACATGTGCCCAAACCAGCACCGATATCAAATTCCCATTCTGCGTGACCGGCATAAAGTTTATAACTCGCGACTCTATCATCATTACACTCGAGGCTTTCAACTGTGGCAATAACATGTTTACGGGTGTTCATTACCTCGTCGACTCCTTCAGCAGCTCAACTACGAGTACTTCCTCCGGTCTATCATCCCCATCGACTATCTCGTCAGACACACCTGCCAGCACTGTTCCCTCAGAGTCAAGCACTGCTCCCTTGGACTCAAACACAGCGACCCCAGCTCCAAGCCCACAAACAGAGAACGCACCCCCTATCGGAGCAATCGTCGGCGGCGCAATTGCCGGACTCGTGGTTATCGGTCTGATCATCACCGCAATCGTGTGGATGATACTACGCAATCGCAGAAAGGCCAGCAAAGACGATGAAAACAACAACAGCAACGGCGGTCCAGCCGTCCAGAACCAGCCTTACACCTACGCAACAGTGCCCGCTACAAGAGCAATGTCAGAATGGCAGTCCTCTACCCCGGCTCCAATGTATGAACCCTACAAGAGGATCCATCAGTCCGGCAATTCGGGTTCGTATCAATATCAGTCTACAACGCCGTCACAGCTCCCAGATCCCACTTCGAGATCCGGGGCGCTGACTAACAACTATTTGTCTAACCGCGTATCTGAGGTGCCGGCTACCAACCCGGCCGGCACGGAGAATAATGCCTCTGAGCTACATTCCGACCACGTCCAGCGAACGTAACTCGTGCTCTTAATCTCGATCAATTTCACCTGCTCGCATTATAATTCGGATGTAGTTGACTTGAAGGATACAAGCTTGGACGAAGTTGGAAAGGTTGAAAGGGCCCCAGGACGGATTTTAGCTTCGCCAACACATGTCTTTAGAATAAGCTAATCTTGAAATCCCAACCGTGATTTCCCAGCTCTCTCAACCTGAAGTTCCGATGCCCGCTTCGGTATCCGTGGCCCCGGCGAGTCTACCCATGAATGAGACGTATGCTTAACCCCCGCGATGACCGTTGAAAGTCACATTGACACCTCAACTCCCCCATCCGTGCGGTCAAAGAGACCGAAGCTGCCGGCCGTCTATCCGACAAAGGCGACTTCTCCATTCCAACCGAATTCTGCACATATCAACACAGACCAAATTACTCCGCGTTCACATTGTCGCGACTCAAGCGCAAAGAGATAGACCCGCGTTGATAGCATGACAATTAGTATATAGACTTGGCAACTCAGGAGGCTAAGCTAACCTCAACCCAGACCCACATACCTCCCATCTCCTCGGCACTTCCTCCACCCAACCCAGCGATTCCAGTCACTGCATTCAAACTCACCTTCTCCATCAAGAGGAGCAAGCAAACAATCATCAGGTCCCATCCTCGGGTTTTCAAGCGGACATATAAGGGGCCAAGCGCAGAAGATCAACATCTCGCCAGACATTACGTCGCCCCGACCTAAAATCATCGTGAGTGGCCAACTACAAGGATCCTACGTGGAGCTTGGTCTAATACCCAACGTGGAGCCCTTCCCCCTGTTTCAAATCAACCAATTTTTTGAAGTAAGTCTTCTACACAATTTTTTGTGACTTACCTGGCCTTTACGGGATGCCAAGAGTATAACGGATTCGGGGACTTGTGAAAGGGCGGTAGGGAGGGAAAGAGGATGGAGGGACTCGAATACGGATCTAGAAGATTAGGATGGCGGCCGACAACGATGGGACTGCGATAAAGGTTAAGAGTTAGGAACAAGCTTGTCTTGAGGAGTTGTGCTGCAGCGCAGCAAATTCGCATCCCATTTGAAAGGCCACCCAGCAGCTGTCAACAACTTGTATCTCGCTGCTTTTCTAACAAGGGGTCTGTGTCTCATGGACCCCGAAACCGATATCGTCTATGCCGAAGAAAGAGTAGTAAACAATGACAAGAAACGAAGTGGATAGCAGATAGCGGGGTCAAGCTCCCCGGATGCGGTGAATCAAACAGTAAACCAATGGCCGTTGCCATTTCTTTTCCTCCTTCTTCCGTCCGCTGCAACAGCTCAAAGTCTGTCGCGACCATGCTGTTGTAATCCAATGCCCAGAGTTATCCGCCGACCCCAATGTAATGATGCCAACACTCATGTTGAAGACAAAAAAGAGATAAAACCCGTGTTTCCCCAAACGCCGTTTGGTGTTGCGCCGACACCAATGATGCAATCGCCTAGTCCTCGCGTTCCCTTTCACTATCATCGCCGCTATCGGTGAGGTCGACTGCCTTGTGCGCTTCGGCTTCGGTCATCTCTCGCCATGTACTCCAGCTCAACATGCCGAATGCGATCATAATCATGACACCGCCGATGAGAGCTGCAGCGCTGAGTGGCTCGCCAGTGCGCAGCCAGTCGGTAATGGCAACGATGAAGATTGTCAGCAGACTGGCGACACTGGACAAAACAGGGCTCGTCAGACTGATCAAGACCAGGAAGCTGCCGGCAAAAGTCGCATTCATAACGACACTGCAGAAAAGCATCCAAGCCGTGTATCCCGTCGGCAAGTCAAATTTCTCAATACCAGTCCAGTGCAGAATGGGAAGCGGAATCCACAGCACCGTAAGCGTGAAGAGACCGATGCAGGAACCGAATGTGTTGGCGAAGATCATGCCGCGATTAGGGCTACAGCCTTCAGGCGGGCAAGCATATCGCTTGTAAAGGACCTCGTAGAGACCGTAGAGGACGGATCCAACACCGATGATCAGGTTGCCAGTGACACGGTTCCCGGCCGCCTGCTGATGAGCGGCATCATCCTCGCCGGGACTAGTGTCACCGTATGCGACGATCAAGACACCAGCAATGGCCACAATGACGGCAAGAGACTTGTCGAGGCGCAAAGGCTCCTTCAACAGCGGAACAGAAAAGACGTAGGCGAAGAAAGCAGAGCAGTTGTAGATGGCCGTCAAATCGGAGGGAGTTGTCAAGTTCACAGCGACATACCAGCTCAAGCCACCAATAGTCAGAGCAGACGTAACGAAGGCCGTGGTCTTGACGATATAAGTCCACGGGGAGACGCGGAGCTGCGGGCTGGGTCGCGCATAGTCGAGGTCCTGTCTCTGGACCATGATGGCGGTGGTGTGAAGCAGCTCAGTGTGTCGTCGCCAGAAGGATGCCCAAGAGACTTTGCGCTTATTGAATCGCAGGAACAGCAGCTGGACAGGCCATAGCATCACCCAGGAGCCATGGGTCAGGTAGAGCATGCAGTAAGCCTTGTCCCAGTGCAGTTCCTGCTGGATGTATGCCGACAACTCGGTCTGGATGACGAAGGATACTAAGCTGATAAGCAGGACGAAGGCCGCAATGATGTATTTTCTTCGAGCGTTCGCTGTGATGGTCGAGGGAGAGTGGGCTCGCATGGTCGAACCTCGAGAGAAGGCCGGTCGACTCGGGGTCAGCAAGGGGCTGGCTCCTCGAGAGCGAGTGGAATAGCTCCTGCCGCGGTGGTCGTCATCTTCGTCGTCCTTTGCGTTTAGAAGAGGTTGCCCGGAGCGGGAGTTGTGATTTCGAAGGAGGGGGGGACGTTGGCTGTCCATTTCGTCGTCTTGGTCGTCGTAATCGTGTTTGAAGTAGTCGTCGTCGGCGGATCGCAATGCATCAAATTCGGCCAGGCGCTGGTCGAGCCCGGGGCTCCGTCCAGGGCTGCTGGTACCACTACCGATATAATCTGAAATGTTGGAATCGCATGTGGTTGCGCTCAAGGGAGGGTTATGGGAATGATCGTGTCGCAAATGGGGGAGGTTGAGGGTTCCATCCGGCCCTGTGTTGAGTCTGGGAGGCATAAGAAGGGATAAAAGGAACGTAAGAATGGGAAGGGGGGGGACACCAGGAGATAATAGCGAGAGTCTGAGAGAAAGAGATAAGAAAGACCGAGAAAGAGTAATAGTAAGGTACACAGAGAAAGGCTAATCAAGTGAAGGAGTGACTTGAACGGGGAAACCAATTGCTGCACAGGCAGAAAGCTGCAAGTTGGCTCGAGTAAGGAAGGGGTACGCAGTTGACGCAGTATGCGAGTCGAGTGCTTGTCGGGAATGGATCTGTACAGTTGGACACTTTTTTCGCTTTGGTAGGAGTGGAGAGTGGATACTACAGTAAACTGGCGCATGGAAGTTGCCAAACCCACGCCTCGGGACGGGATGCAGGAAAATGCGGCGGACGGGCATACGGGATTGTGGGAATGCAATACCTTCCTTAGACACTTTCGCTTTACAATGGGGTGCGTACGGATACTTGCTGTCTCTTTGGTATCGTATCCCGTACTCACGAGGTATCTTCATTGCCCCGTGGTGGTGACGAGTGACATATCCATGACCCAGCAAGGTGACTTTTGATAGGGCCATCCCTACGCCGCCGAGACACAGCTAACTTGGCTTACTTGCTGCTTTCCACTTGGCACCGGCCAGATTGGCGGGCATGAGCGGTTCGCGCGGAAGGGGTCTTGCCCCCATATTTCCCCCCCACTCTCCTTGGTCTCCTGCAATGCTGCACACGCAACACCTCCAACACTCAGCCCTCCAAACTGACGCAGCCTCTCCGTCGCTATCGCTCCCACACCATTGTCCGTCCTTGATAATACTAGGTACCTATGGTATCCGAACCAGAGGTTAGACATTTAGTCTGGTCGCGACTATCTTGCGCACCGTCGTCTCTGCCCTACCGTTGTACCAAATCAAGTACCCAGATACCACACCCTTCCGCCAATTCTCACGCACGTCACGAGTTGCGGTCAGGAGCAGAACGACAAGCCTGTCACCTGCGTCTGATAACTCTGGCGAGGTCAGCCTCTAACAAATCTTAGCGTTTGCCCGGCTATCATAGCTGCACCACTGCGGCGGTATGCATTACAACTTGAACCGCTTTACCACGCTTACCAACAAACGATGGAGGGTAAAGAGAAGAGGGCCTCAAAACGGCATTTCCCCTCGCCCCATGCTCCATCCTCCAGCCTGACGCCATCACGCATGGCGTCGCATGACTGGAAACTCTGGCATTGGTCCCAGCTGCCACACCCACAAAAGCACACCCTCACATCCCGCGCCAGCGATCGCTTCGAGAACAGGGTACATTCATGTGCCTCGATTTTGACATCTGATACAACCGTTTGCCCATTAACACCACAGTGACTACAAAGAATCAAACTTTGCCCGTATTTACCACGGCAATTCTTCCAATCTCGCATCAGGTTTCTGCCCACTCATCGGACTTGAGCCCGATCACTTGGCCCCCTCGCCGAACAGCTTCTCCCGGGTGTTGTACTTGTACTCGAGGTCCAGGTGCCAGTAGTTGGTTGTGTCCGCCTTGGAAACAGCCCACGCCTGATCGAGTGCATCAACCACTGCCTTGGGAAGGGGACCCTTTTCGAGCTGGTTGAGGTTATCCTCGAGCTGCTGCACGCTCGAGATGCCAATGATAATGCCGTCGTTACCAGCATCTCCGGTCTTGAGACCCGAGTGGTGCACCGTCCAGCGCAGCGCCGTCTCAATCATGGTCAGCCCGTGCTCCTCCACCGCCTGCTCGATGATCTGAAGCGCCTTGAACGTGCTCTCGCGGAAGTAGCGCTTGCGGTAGTTGCCTCCCGTGCCGTGGTTGTCCGAGAAGCGGCCCTCCGTCGGAACGATGTCCTTTGACTTGATCTTGCCCGAAAACAGACCGCCAGCAATGGGGTTGTACACGACGAGGTCGAGTCCGTAACGGCGCAGAGCCGGGATTAGCTCGGGCTCGATGCTGCGTGTGATGACATTGTACATGCCCTGGTAAATCGTAGGCCGGACCCAACCGTTGTACTTGGCCGTCAAGACCACTTCGGCCACCTCAAACGCGGTAAAGTTGCTGAGGCCCAGCCTCACGAACTTGCCTTGCTTGTGGAGCTTGTCCAGAGCCTCAAGCGTCTCTGCGAATGGGGTTGCACGATCCTGTGAGCCACTATTAGTCACTATCCGAGACCATACTCAGGGACATAGTTCGTACCGCAGCATGGAGGTACAAGATCTATCAACGTATAATTAGCTTAACCCCTGACTAGATGGCCCTTTCATGTTCACTCACATCGACGGAATCGGTGCCGAGCTCCTTCAAGCTAGTCTCGACAGACTCAATCACCTTGTCCCCGGCATGATCGCCAGGCTGTCCGGGATATTGGACCTTGGTGGCGAGCGTCAAACCCCTCTCCTTCCACTTGGCCTCACGAGTAAAGGCCTCTTGCTTCCTGCCCACATACACTCGGGCTGTGTCGACCTCGTTGTAACCGCGAGCCTGGAAAACATCGAGAGCCTTGTTGTACGTCTCGAGATCGGTAATTCGGGCACCGGCGGACTCATCAGGTCCGAAGGTCATGAGACCCAGGATGATGCGGTTCTTGGGGTTTGAAGCGATGAGAGGCATGGTGAAAGCTGGGGGATCCTTGAGTAAGACGAGTAAGGCAAGGTGGAGAGGAGCTAAACGCCGGGGATAACTATTTTGAGAAAGACGGACAAACCTTTAGACGTGTCTGGAAAATGGGAAGCGTCGAGATATTTATATAACTCGTTGGTCCGGTACGGGGATATCGCGAGAATGCCAATAATTTGCGTTCTCGAAGCGATGTCGTGATCAGATAGGCTCGACAAGCTGCTTCGAAGTGGGCTTCATAGGAGTCAGAATGCCATGGACCCCACCATCTTGGCGGGGTAGGTGAGATACGTGCGACATCTGAAGACGTCACGGCGCCGGTGCGGCCAGTGAGAGGGATTACTAATGGCGAGCTGGCGGTAGAGCTGTAACTTTACCATGCCGAACCCCCCCCCCCCCCGTAATCGGATAGGAGTCAGCCAGTTACATGTTGAAGCTATGGCAAACATTCATTTCTTGGGGGTCTATTGGCAAACACTCCGGCCTTCCCTGGCGTTGCTTGTTCTGATAAGTCCGATAACTCCTACGCTGTTGTATGAAGGCGGTGATCTTTTCTCTGCAAGAAAACGAAGCTTTGAGATGTATCGCACAAAGGTTGCATTCTTGTCGGCTGGCGGTAAGCTGTGCAAGCAAAGCCGGTAAGAGCAATATCTTGTTGGCAACTGCTCGTTCCTATGGAGACTCCAAAGAGACGAACCTTGGGATGGAAGGAGCGCTGGGCCTTTAGTGACAATACCGTGGAAGCTCAGACCACCGATGAAAGAGAGAGACACGTGACCCCGGTAACTCGCCTTGAAGCGCTCTCGGCCACTCATTTATTCATCCAAAGAAAGAAGGAGAGCCCCACAGCCCCGTGTTGACGCTCGGGCCCTTCTCTTTCGCGCGCGTAGCCGCTTGGCTAAAGTGCTCTTTCGCGTAAAAGGTAATCTAAAGAAGGCGCGTCTCGCGTCGTCGACGTGCCCTTTCCTTCAAACCACCAAAGTGCATCCACTCCAAACCTGGTGAAATTTCCGTGATACCGGTCCTCAACCCCGAGCCTCATCGACCCTTCGCCTCCACAACTACCACTCCCACCCCGAACGAAACGCCACACCAAGTGCTCCCACCCGCCCTATCCACGATATCGCTCTCTCTCACGTCGAATAGACCAAAAACACTGCCAACGTGCCTCCTGACCATAATACGAGAAGTCCGCAGGGCCTGTCCCTTGCTCCAGGTCGGCGACGATGGTTAATAAGGGCAATGCGCAACCCGGCGTTTACAGCGCCACATACAGTGGTGTAAGTCACTTTTTTCTTGCAGACTTGGCAAAATCGCTGCTTGACTCCCGCGAATCCCAACATACTGTTATTCAACGGCATCAGGCTGGGCGCTTATTTCCTTTTGGGAAAGGGGATGGCCTCAATCATCGGGGTTGGCCCAGAGACGACCCATGATACTTCGCATCCAAATTTCCTCCGCAGTTGGGCCCGTAACTAATTGAATGATCTTCTAGATTCCAGTCTACGAGTTTCAATTCGGAGATGACCTCAAGGAACATGTCATGCGACGCCGCCAAGATGACTGGATCAATGCAACGCACATCCTGAAGGCCGCTGGCTTCGACAAGCCCGCCCGAACACGTATTCTTGAGCGAGAAGTACAAAAAGAAAAGCACGAGAAGATCCAGGGTGGATATGGAAAGTACCAGGGCACATGGATCCCTCTCGACAAGGGCGTCGCCCTCGCCCAGCGAAACAACATCTATGACCGCCTGCGGCTCATCTTCGAGTACACCCCAGGCGAACAGAGTCCGCCCCCAGCCCCGCGACACACGAGCAAGCCGAAAGCACCAAAGAAACCCGCAGTGCCCAAATGGCCCGCCACGAACTTCCAACAACAGCAGCAGCAGGCACCACAACAATCCCAGCCCCCTGCCAACCAGATGCAAGGCGCGCCGCCGCCAGAAGAGTACGAGGTCGGCGACTCGATGATGAATGACGATGATACCCCTGACAACTTGACCGTTGCCTCCGCCTCATACATGGGTGAAGATGACCGCTATGACATGTCCCACCAGTCGGGCCACAGGAAGAGGAAGAGGGAAGAGGCCATCCAGGACTTGACGCAGCAGCAGCACTCCGTTTACGGAGACGAGCTTCTCGACTACTTCCTCCTCTCTAGGAATGAGAAGCCAGCATACCGGCCTGAGCCGCCGCCAAATTTCCAACCGAATTGGATCATCGACTCGGAGGAGCACACGGCGCTTCACTGGGCATCGGCCATGGGCGACGTGGACGTCATAAAGCAGCTTCGGCGCTTCGGCGCCAGCCTGAATGTGCAGAATGTAAGGGGGGAGACTCCCTTCATGCGGGCTGTGCATTTCACCAACTGCTACGAAAAGCAAACGTTCCCTCAGGTGATGAAGGAGCTTTTCGAGACTGTCGATGCGCGGGATGCGACAGGGAGCACGGTGATCCATCATGCCGCAGTAATGAAGAATGGCCGGGTTGTCAGCCACTCGTGTTCAAGATATTACTTGGATAATATCCTAAACAAACTACAAGAAACGCATGAACCTGCCTATGTGCAGCAGCTTATCGATGCGCAAGATGAGCAAGGCAATACTGCCCTTCACCTGGCGGCAGAACGCAACGCGAGGAAATGCATCAGGGCACTCCTCGGGCGGCAGGCCTCCACCAGCATTCCTAATAACGAAGGTGTGCGGGCGGAAGACCTCATCGCCCAACTCAACGCCACAAAGAAGGAGCGCGGCCCTCAACGGTCATCGTCGCCCTTTGCGCCCGATTCTCAGCGCCACGTTTCTTTCCGTGACGCGGTGCCTGAACGTATGACCACGAGCAAGAAGCTCGGCCTGTCATCCTTCAACTCAGAGGCCGCAAATACGGTACAGTCGCGCATCACACCGCTCATTATTGAAAAGTTCCAAGATCTCGCGGGGAGTTACGACGAGGAACTCCGCGAAAAGGATCAGGCGGAGAAGGAAGCCCGTCGTATTCTCTCCAATACGCAAGCTGAGCTCGCCGCTGTACACCAGCACATGGCCGAGCTTGAAGCCCAGCTCGAAGCAGACGACGGCGCAGCGCAAATCATCAGCGAGGCCAACCGCGCCAAGCATCAAGTCATGTCCCTCATCACGCATCAGAACCGCCTGCATGTACAGCAGGCCGTGGACCAGGAGATTAACATGCTCAACGGCGATGCCAACGAGGCCTCGTATGAGGACCGACTCGAGCTGGCGCGGCAGCTGCAGGCCATGCTCTCGGAGCAGAGACAGTCAGAGTCTGACTACGTCGAGGCGCTCAGCATGGTTGGCACGGGCGAGAACATTGACAAGTATCGCCGGCTCCTGCGCAAGTGTCTGCCCCCAGCTGACGCGGAGAACCTGGACGAGAATCTCGACAACCTCATCGAGATGATGGAAGAGGATCGTGACCTGCCGGGCGACGGCAGCGGCCTGGAGCCCATGGATGTTGGTATGGGCGGTATCGGGATCGGTATTGGCATGTGACTACATGCCACGTATCTCGAGCAATCACCGGTTGCATAAGTTGTAAGATGGAGAGATTTCAAGGGGCGTTGGTCTCTGTTCTACGAAAATTTCCCTATTTGGGAGATTGATCTTTGTCAGATCCAGACAACGTTTCCGTCCGTGAGACGATACGAGACCACATCTCGACTTGTCAACGCGGAAGCATGGTTGTTGTTGGATGGGCGGGGGCTTTTTTTCATTTCCAAAAATTCAAAAGGGGTTCAGGATTCGCTGGTGTCTTTTTGGTGGCTCAGGCAGGATAGGGCAGGATCGGGCAGGCAAAGCAGGCTAACTTGTTTATTGTTATTCGTCGCGATTTTGATTACACTTTGGACTGGCGTTTGAACGTTGGCGAGGGGAGGAGCGAGGGCGGAGATGGAGGTCCGAAGATGTATGTTGGAGAGAAGGGGCGATGGGGGGGAGGGGTGTGAGTGGCCATTGCGACTCTGCATGAGATCTAGGTCTCGGAGTCTTTTGTGTGTAGTGTCTAGCGGACTTGATCGATGGAGAACCGCACAAACGACCAAGAAAGATTCCCCACGCATGCAATCACATGGGCGTGAGAAGAAGAAGAAACAACATTTACTCGTCACAGGGCGACTATCTCACCTTGTGGTATTAGTGATGCTGATGCTGCCTAGAAAGTGGACACGGCTGGGGTACCCGACTGTCCTTGTCGGTCATCTGACGACGGCCGGTTAAGACAGAGATGGACGGAGGCGGCAGCCATTATTCACGCCCGGGTGCGTTCGAATTTGAGAGCAGCCTTAAACGTCTCAGCCTGGCTCAGTGGCTGTGATTTTGCGGGTTGTGTTGTGAACGAAGAGGCTTTCGTGAGGCTGGCTGACGTCCCTCTTAGTAGTGCTGTCAGTCAGCCAGTGCAACGCCATCATCCACATCTTGGGTACGCCCCGGTCGACTTCGGTGCGCCGGAGCCCAGATGCGGAATAACAAAAGATCGCCATTCGGACACTGCTCATAAACATACACTCCCACGGTTTCCAGAAGATACAACCCTTTTCAGCGATACGATTGATGAACCTGTTGTTGCTGCCAGAGGTAAGATCGCTTGATTAAGTGAGAATGGCGTCAGCTCAATGATTAGAAACTCACCGCAACGACCATGACTCGACGTTGCAAGAAAGCCATCTGACAGTCGCGTGTCGCCCGAGGCGCCCGAAATCGTCGGTGGACTTGCGCCAGTCCGATCTGATAGGGCTTGGCTGAAGGCTTCTTCACTCTGACCACGCTTTGGTAGCCTCCGGTTTGGGATGATGGCTGATGAAGGAAGGGAAAGTTCTGTCAAGGTGCAGGGCTGACTCAACCTTGTCGTTGGCTTCCGGAGTGGGACAGAGCCGCCAGGTCCGACAGGCAGATTGAGTTGTCGCTGATGGAAAGAAAAGACGCAAGCCTGGAAATCCAGTATATCGAGATGTTCCAATCAAGGCGCTACTAGGGACATCCTTACCTAAGAACGATGCTCACCAAGGTTGCACCGGCAAAATGTAAGCTTGGCATGAATCATCAGCCACATGTCTCGTGGTATAGAAAATGGGTTTTTGAGCCGTGTCCGCGGGTTGAGAGTTGAAGGTTAAGGTTACTGAGCGTGCCGCAAAAGCCAAGGCTGAGGGAATCGTAATCCAACCTGTCGCGTTCGAGCATGATGAGGCTCCGAAAGTGAACAAGTGCTGATGATCTTCCAAAAGCCTCGCGCATAGTCATCGCAATAAGCCGTCGGATGTAGGATGCCGTCCTCATCCACCAAGGAATCGCGACAATGGAGACCAGTGAATGCATGGTCCTTCACGTTGCCGACTTTTCGTGGCAAGGGAACACGGCGTTGCGCCCGACTTGGCGGCGGGATCATTTACAAATCAACAGGGAGAAGCTCTTTAGCACCGGGGAATTTCCCACAATTGACGAAAAGAAAGGCGGTCAGCGGAGGTTGCGGTGGTATCAGGGTAACAAACTGATGTTTGATTGGGAGGGCCAGATTCGAGGCAGTCTCGTAGAGCGGACTTGACCACATTGACGATGCAAACCGAGACGGCGATGGTGCATCCGCGTGTTAGTCTGTGAAGCTATTCGATGCTGGTCAGCCAATGGATTGCCAATGACCAGGGGATAAGTAAGGGCTTGGGAGGACTAGTGGATGGGGAGCGATTAACATGCTGACGCCATTCCATATCAATGAGCCGGGATCTTCGTAAGGCTGAAGTGCACGAGGGTCCCTGAATGGCCTCGCATGGTTTTGGTGGGTGTGGGAGCATGGCGGGTGGTATGCAGTGGAGGCTGTTGGCAAAGTGGCGTGAGTGGCTGCGATAAACGCGTCCAAGATGAGTGACGTTCAGTTGGGCCGTTGACACCAAGAACAGGCAGATGGTACCTTGAACGCTTGCGCTCCGGGTGATCAACCTCGTTTTGTGACACATTTGGATGACGGTTTGCAGATTTCATGCATACCTAGGGATGAGCAACTGCGTCTCAAGGTTAAAGCTAGACGGTGAAGGATAAGCACTTGGCCGAGCTCCCATGCTCTGGACAGGATATGTGACACAGTATTTCTTCGCCTTTCGGCATCCCGTCACGCGTCTAGCGAGTCCGCCGAGTCGCGCTGAAAGGGCGAGGTTGTGATGCAAACCCTTGCAACTGCCCAACAAGCATTAAGACGGGCGTGGAGGGGTCCTTCGCAATACGAGAAATTCCATGGTGGTGATCTGAAAAGCCCTCGTTATTGCTTAAGCCTTGATGGCGACACCGGGTACGTAGACGCGCCACGGGAGAAGGCTCTCATCTGGTTTTGATGGAATGTGGGCGTGGGCCAGGTAGAGCAACGGCCGTCGGCTTCGTTTGGGGGCGGACTCGTGTTCCGTGGCATGGATTATCAGGCGGGATGATAGGGCGATGAACTTGGTGGATGCACGGATGGCGGGATAACAAATCGCAAGGTACAGTGGCATGTGCGTGTGCCAGCGGATGACGCGCAGTATCTTCTCGGCGAGTTGCTGCAACCTGCTGTCGCCGCCTCTGTAATGTTGAGCCCGGGGTGGCCGGGAGGCGAGACCGGAAGGAGGGGTGACGACGGGGTTTGCCAGGAGGCGAGAAGAAAAAGGCGTTTGGTTATTCTCGTAAACGCAACCGCCAAGGCCTATCATGGCAATCTTGTGAAAAGGGGCCGATGAGACACGACAGGAACAAAACATGCCCGTAGCTATGTCCTAGTGGGAAGAGACCAGTCGGGATAGCGACATGACTCGTGAATGGCTCAGTTTGGTCATGGAGCGGGAGCATTGGGGGCGGATCTGAAGTTGTTGACCTGGTCCTGGGCTAAGAACAGGAATAGAAAAGACTCAGGAACGGGGGGTACGGCAGCGGCGATCAGGCCGCGTCGGCTCCGTGGCTCGGCGCCCCATCTCGGGGGAAGAAACCTTCACAGACAAGCTAAGGCTGCTGTGAATGTAAATCCGGAGGTCGAGTGCTGCGGGTATGGTGGAGATGCGGTTTGCTTGCGTGTTTTGTTTGGGGTGACCGAATTAGGAGTGAAGACTCGTATTCTCGGAATTTGCATGTTGCCACAACGGCTGAAGCTGCGTCTTGCGTCAGAAGATTGGACGCAAAAAGGTTCGCTTTCAAGGATGATTCGGTACCGTATGGATGGTAACGAGCTGAAGGTGTCTTTCCACCGTGAAACCGAGGGGAATGGTTGGATGAGGAGGATGCCGCGAGTCTTGAGTTGTGGCTGTGCTTTGCCGCCGGCGGCCGCAATGCTGCATCTAGCAAGCAAAGTGGACGGCCATCATCGAGGATCGCCGTGAGCTGGCATCGGGGGCCGAAAGAGAAAACGAAAAGTCGGTGTCGTCGTCGTCGTAGTAGTAGTAGTAGGAGTTTATGAATGCCAATGGAGGTTGAGAGGGAAGGAATAAGGCTGAAGGGAACGGAAGCTTTCTCGTCGACAAAAATAGCAAGCATGACCAGCCGACAAGGTACGGAGTCAATAGAGAGGCACATGGAGTCTGGGGAAAATGAACCTTAGCACTGCAACCTCCGCCCCTACCTTCCCTAATTAGGGCACCTTTTAGGACGAGACGGGATGGAAGGTTAGGTTGGAAGTGGCAGGCACAATACCGGATGGCAGTTGATACCTTCCAGGTTCCATCACTTCAAATTCGGATGACAAAACGTAATGGAAGGATGATAGTCATCTCAAAATACTTAGGTAGGTAGCACGTGTAAGGTACCTTACGGATAGGTACCTAGGCACCGTTAAGGAAGGCATGGCAAGGAAGGCAAGTACGTCCGTAAAGAAGCCACAACATCTTGCGGCCGTTGAGGAAGGGGCTTTACACGTGCAGAGTGCAGTATGCGGAAATGCATGTCATGCAACGACCTGAACAGGAAACATGGAGGGCACCTCATGAGTTGCAGATGCATCCATTAGTGTCATTGACGTGTCGTTAAATCAAAGGTGAGGAAGTTCAGGGACAACACTTTTTGCAGGTGCACGCAAGGGAGGAAAAAGTGCAGGCGGGAGAGGACGCAGCCGGATCGTGGCTTGAGTCTATTCCACGTCCCTTCCATCATCACCATCGTCGTTGGGTGCTGAAAATAATGTCTAATAGCGGGTGATCGCCTGCACCAGCTCCCATTCTCAGTGCTCCGTTTTGACCGAGGTGTGGACGGGTGACGGGTGGGACCAGCGGGACAGGTGGCCCTAGCGTCAGTTACGTACCGTAGGGGTGGCACCCAAAGGGCATCTGCGCCTGCTCAAGTGGCTCATGAGTTTATGGCAGGTGTGCTCCCTGCAGGTGTCCAGCTTGCTGCTTCCCGTCGTGTCTTGTAAACTTGCAAAATGTTTCCAACTCGAGGAAGGAACCAAACGGGGCCCATGTATGTATTGGGTTCATGCTTGCCTTCCCGTCCAGATGATACCTACCTACCTTAGGTACCGTACCTATGCTAAGTCCCTATGTATCTGCCCAATGAGCCTAAGGCCTGGGATTAGGTAGGTACGTTCTCAAAGGATCCAGGAAAACACCGTGCTCTCGAAGGCAGGAGTGCATGAGCTGAAGCCTGAGGCCCCTTCACGCTACATGTGTAAATGTCCCTACCTAGATACCCTCGAGAGTCTGAACGGGGAAGACACTCAGGTGCGCCGGGCTGGACTCCGTCTCCCGCACCTTTTTTTTCTTTCTTTTTTTCTTCTCCCATGCCATGACTATCATTTTGCATCACTCCAGGAGTTCAGAGTCCAGAGTCCAGAATCCAAAAGTCCAAGTCCAGACTGAACTGTGGAAAGCAGAAACTCCCGGGGAAATTGCTTCGGCCCTTGGTTCACACAATGGACGAATGAGAGGCCGCAGCCTTTTCGACACCAGCTGAACGACAAAGACTGGAACTCTGCATCGCCAATATGGAACCCAATTACAACTCACCCAAATGTATCAGGTCCGTATCCGTACTCTCATCACCTCGACCCCTCGATCCCTCGACCCCTCCATGGACCCTCGCTGAACCCTCGTCGATCGATCAACCCTCGAGTTTGACGCGCCTCGACGGTTCCAGTCCTGCGTCCCGGCTCCCGTCTCCCATCTCCCATCCTCATGTCTCTCCCCGCTCTGATACCTAAGGTACCCAAGCATGAGAAGGTGCTAATCGTTCCAGGTTGTCACCACCGTCATCACACACCACCATCAGCCCGTCACACCCCACACCGTCTCTGGCTTGGTCTGACCTTTGCTCGAGGTCCTCTGCGCCGGTTCAGATCTCTCGCTGCGTTCCTGGCATGTCACTCTGTCTGAGCCTCTGACTTTCTACCTACCTCAGCATCTCAAGTACACTTCGGCCTCGTCGCATCCGTGGCATAATACCCACAAGGCGGGTGTTTGCCACCTACCTAGTCCTGACTTCACTAGTGTAACATTTCACCCAGCAATGTCTCCGATCCTACGGATACAGCCATGGGAAATTGACAATCGGCTCGCCAGCCTGGATCTTGTTGACCCAATGGGGACCAAAGACACAGAATTGTCTCTCATTCGTCAACAAACCGACAGACATGGAGGCTTCCATGCGAGGTGTCGTGGGCCGGTCAGCACACCCTGCGTGCCTGCGTGCCTCTATGTATGCAACTTCACGGCGCATCTCCTATCCCACTCGTCGCATACGACATACGGCGACGGTGATGCGGACGCTTGCTCGGATCCTTAATGTCATAATCTCATCTTCGTCTTCATTCAAGCCCAGTGGAGCTCGGACTCCTATCGCGGCTGCTCCCCGTCCACCTAGTCCTGGAAATTGTCCTGGATGTTTGGGTGACTGGTTTCACCTCGTCCTCAACGCGCTGCACCCACGCCAGCCCATCACCATCGTGCATTGTTCACTTGCCAGATTTCGGTACTTGCGCATGCGCCATGTCATGCAGTCCCAGCTCACCAGCCCTTTGCCGATTATTGCACGCCGGCCGACCCCTTTTCGGCATGCCGAATGTCGGCAGCTCAGGGCCGGCGCAACACTTACACACCTCGCTGCTGTCTCCTTACCTCGTCCCTTGAGGGCATTGGGTAGTACGGTGCCCAACAGACAAGAGTCGCCAACCAACAAAATCCAACTCCGGCTTATTGCGGCGACTCTTCAAACTCCCATCATTTACATCACCATGATCCTCTTCTCGACCCAAGGAATTCCATCAAGAGGGGGAGGGGGACGCATCGATCGACACCACAGGGCTAGGCTGCGCAACCAATCGTCCCAAAGAACAGGCATTGAAAGGAACAAGCTTGCAAGTATTACACCCCCATGTGGCCACACACTAGCAGGGCTAAGGCCCAGATGGCGTGGCTGGTAGGGCTACCCTTGAGCTCACCTCAGCTGGACCAGGGAGGCGTCCCCATCCCCGTTCCACTCGCTCACACTAACTCGCTTTGCAATGCGACAACGCCCCCTTGGAGTCTGAGCTCGCAGGCAGTCTCTGCAAGCTTGCTTTTGCGACGGGTGACCTGCTCCTGAACACAATGAGTTCCCCGCCGCCGCGACACGACGTCTGTTCTGTACGAATCTATTCAACGACCAAGAGGATACAGGTCGCCGAGCCGCCACTGCTCCGTACCGATCGTAGTCTATTCCGTACATATGTACGTACGGATACAATGATCCATCAACCACTGTGGATATGTCAGCAGTAGGTACTCCGTACCCCGCCGCCGTCCAGGTCTGTCACTGGAACAGCTAGCGACATTCTCTCTCCACTGGCAAGACATGCCCCGAATCGCTCACAACAACTCCAGCTCAGCCCGCGTAGCTTCGTTGCCAAATAGTTGCCGGTCACACTAGACTAGAACCCCCTTTGCTGCGACGAATTAGTAGCCATGTGGGATGGCCGCCACCATGGGAGGTTGCGCCGTCCTACAATTTACCAGACCCAGATCTCGGCGAAGCAAAGTCCCGTCTCGTCTGGTGGACAGTCTGGACTCCACGGCCGCCGACTTACACGGGTGACGGCCGAACCTCGATCAGGGCCAGGGCCAGTCCAGCTTGTCTTTCCCTGTCATGCGGATGCCCAGAATTCATGTTGGGCTGAACGACAGGGGTGTAGTCTTTTTAGCTCCCCCTCCCCCTTGTTGGCGCCATTTCCAGAAAAATCGACCCCAAATGTTGGTCTCCATTCGAATGTGCAATAGGCGCCAACACGCGACGAAGCAAGTCAAGAGTCCGAACTACCTAGCACAATGGAGTTGGAATGCGAGCAAGTTGGCGCTTTGCTTGTCACATTCGAGGTCGCATCCCCGTTGTTGCTTGACTACACCGCCTTATTGGTATTCCCTCCAACGTCTCGTTTTCCGTCCCACCCAACGAAGCCCGCCTCTTATCAGAACCGCGCCCGGGCGGGATAATGCCTATACCAGTCATGGTGCAGCGGTGCTGACACTGTCAGTCGCCTCCTCGGCCAGTTAGAAAAGTCGGGATGGGAGAGACCAACAACATCTGTTGCCCACCCGACCCAGGCATGTCAAGTCAATTACATACTCTCAAGCATATGGATCATGATGACCGCATCTACAGAGTATCAGCGTTCATCAAGCCTGGAAAGTCGCTTTCTCCACCCGTGGGCGCATCCATGGCCACCCCATCCGCGCCCGCTTCTGCAACACCGCTTAAGCTCAAAGCGTTTTCCCAGCTTGGAAGACGACCAGTCGGAGTTGTTAACCACACACCTATCGATGCGCCTTGCGGCAAATCTAAGCAAAGGCTTTTCGCCATCGTGACTATGCTAGAGCATTTGGGAACCTGGTTAGTGCAATTGTGTTTTCGGGGCTCTCTCGCTTATTTCACGAAGGAGGCTGACTGAGAATTAGAAGGCACTCTGAAAACGGGCCCTCCTAGGCGAGCGTCTTTTGTTCCACGCGCAATCCCAGGATTTCGTCTTCGCACACCTCCTCTCTCGGTACACACCCTCACATCCACGACCCCTTCATCATCTCATTCCTTACAACCTTCTAAGCGGGACCAGATCTGGCGATACGGTTCAACTATCCCCATATTGTCTCGTCTCCCGCGACACGGCGCATCAAGCATCGTGTCTATATATATGATACTCTATCCTGCCCAGCTTGCACGCCAATCCTTCCACTCCACCGGCGCTCTGTTTTGGTCTATGATCCTCATAGATCCTTATCCATTCCCCTTGGATCTTAGGCCCCTCACGAAGGACTTCCTTTGTCAAACTCAATCGACAACAAGGCTATTGTCTCCAGAAACACGGCGCATAAATATCCTCCGTTTGTCTCAACCCTCGTCCATTGCCATTTGCATCTGCCAAGCAAGGGAACGGTACCTCAACCCACCTCAACCCATTTCAGCTTGCAGCCCCTTGTACACTTCGAAATCGACCTGTTTGTAAGTCTGCTGTCATTTACAATTACCTACTGGGTGATACCGCTTCCAGTGATGCGTGGGAACCGTTCAAATTCGGCCGATGGTTTCAAAGCTTGCGGCGCAATGAGCCTCGCGTCACCCTAGCGCGCGGCATCCACTCGAAATAGCACCATAAAAGGGATCAAGCACTTACACGTCGATCATGTAGACAGACCTCCGCCAATCTCTCTCTCTCTCACTCTCTCTCCCTCCCTCACTCAAGGCTCGCCCTCACTCTTATCCTCTCTTCGGCCACCCTCCTTGACACTCGCAAAGCAGTCGGTTCAGCCCGGATCATTATTCGGCAGCTTTCCCTCCTGACTTACGGCAGATGCGGCGGCCGAGGCCCACCTTCACATCCCCCTAGTCGCTTATGTCCAGCAGCGCCATTTCATTACTCGCAAGCCACTGTTAGGTCTTGGCCAGGGCCACCAGACACAGGCATACCCCAGACGTACAACCACCTGGCACCACACCGCATCCGAAGTCCATCGGCGAAGGTACCTCTACCTCTGCTGAAGGCTGACAGACCCCCTTTACGACCTTCCTCAAGCCTACACACTCACTTCCCATAATCAGCCGGCCTATCTTTAAGCAACCATGCCCGCTCTCACTCATGCTGAGCTTGCCTTGGGCGAGCCGCGTTCAACTGGTCGTTCTTACCACCACCTTTCTTTCTCTCATCTCTGCACTGGTCTTCTGATACTTACCGTCCTGGTCACCTTACGTTTGGTGGTATGTGGTGCTTTCTGGACTACGACGAGCAACAAGTTCAAAAAGTCTCAAGAACACGATCAACACGCCAAAAACCAGCTTGATTACTTGATCAATCAGCAACGGCTCCATCATCTCTTCGTCCAAGACGGGGCCTGGGTCATGGAAGAAAAGTCACGTGGGGTCAGCAGTAACACCCTAGTTGCTGGGGCTGAGTCGACTAGGAAGATCAGTCCGCAGGACGGTCTTATGAGGGGAAATGAGAAAGAGTCGGTTGAAGGTACAGAGAAGAGGAGTAGCGGCGATGTGATGTTTGCGGACCACATCCTTCGAATGGGCAAAGCTGCGGGTCAACCTTCCGCCCAGTTCATGTTGTCGAGACCTCCGCAGCCTCCTCCTCTCACGCCCCCGGAACTTTCGCCATCGGTTTTCACCTATGATGAGCGCAGAAGGAGCTTCACCAGTGGTGTGTCTGAGCTAGATGCATCGTTTTTCGAGCAGCCAAACCCTGACTATATGTCATCAACATCAACCGGCGCTTCGACAGCAACGCAGGAGGCGCAAACTACGAGGTCCTCCCCAGCACCCCGCAGGAGATCTTACACCAAGATGCTTCCCATTGGAATCCCTTCTCAGCCATCGGCTACAATACTTGACGATGAAGCCGGCATGGTCTTTTCCCCTTCGTCGTACCCCCCTACTTCACCTCTACTTCCCGGCCCTCCCCCTATCTACGGTGAAATCCGTTATGACGAAGCCACTCAGCAAGAGATTGTCGTGCGAGGCGAGATCATCTCCTCTATGGACGGATCGGGGGCGGGGTGGAAGAGGCATACGAGAGTCTACGGAGGCGGTGTTTGCCTTGTCTGCGCAGCATCCGGTGACGATGGTCATCACCATGGCGGCTTCTACGGAGAGAACGTCCTGCCAGAAGAGAAGCGCTACTGAAAAACGAAACAAAAACGGCCTTGAGATGAGTCGAAACGAAAGAAGAGAGTAGTCTAATCAGGGTCGATGATACCATTGGGACGGGTCCTTTTCCTCTGGGACGTAAAGTGGCGATAGACGCAAGCGGCGCTTCATCAGCATCACGGCAGCGGCACAAAATGGGTTTGGTATACCATCTCATCGGGGAGGTCTCTTCTTTTCATCCAACATTCTACAGCATATTTTACTGTCAACTCTTGATTTCATTCTAACATTATGGTCTTGGGGTTTGTCTGTCCGGTATATTGCTGAACGTTATCTTGTTACATGTTGGCTTATCGGGTACTCTGGAGAATGGAAGAAAGGGGGTTTTCATTGGGGAAAGGGGGCATGTACTGGTGGACGGATGGGTTCGAGATTTTCCTTCTTTTTTCCCTTCTTACAATTTCACGCTTCACGATGTTTATGAGTTGACGATGATTACGATGCCAATACCAACGTTCGGTTGGTGTTGCGACTGCTGAGTGTTTTCTTGTGTTCGTATTGTGGAAAAAGATGAGAGAGCATGTATGTAGCTGAGATCAAGAGATTCGGTGTATGAGTGTGTATCTAGGTATTCATACGTATGTATCTAAGCCGAGAGGCGAATCCGGAATAAGTGTATCTTACTTTTGCTGTATCTACGTCCTCACGTAGTCCCAAGTCTGAATAGTGAGCTGTCTCGCAGTCGAAACTATACTGCATAATCTGAAAGACTAATGACCATTCGGGAGGGAAGTCTGGGGTATCGGTTGGTTTCTAGACCAACTGATCTGAAAGTCTATCAACAATCCAAGGGTCTCAACGGGGTGTCTTCGGAGAGAGTCTCGATGTGGACACTATAAAATCACTTGAGCCTCATGCGAAGCACCACCTGGGGAATAGCTTGCTCCAAATAGCTCTCCGAGAGACGGAGATCAAAGTAGATGAGAAGTTCGGGCAGGTGATGAAAGGCACCCAGCGAGCCATCTCTCCGCATACCTTTCCACATTCCGAATGAGATACTTTGGACTATCCAGCTTGGTTCTCGCCAAGAGACTGCGCCTGGTGTGGTTATTGATCTTCAGAGTCTCACGGGACTTTCGTTCAGACAGCAAGTAGCCAAGACCACCACGCAGAGAGAAAGAGCACCGTCAAGGTCTCTCGACGAGGCTTGTCGAGGTCAGGACGCTCCCAAAGTTCCTTTTCACCTCAGGCGCGGCTCTACGGAAGCTGATGTGAGAGAGCTCCATCTCATAGTCCGAGCCTCCTTTCCCGCCTCCGTTGCGGGACATGTCGCATCAGTAGGAGTTGCCTAGATGAGATTGACCGAGTCAACTCGAGATGTCTCCATCAGTATTCGTACCCCTGAGGCTCCATCGCATCGCAACCCGAAGACGATCCACCAAGCTTCCTGCCTTGCCCTCAGAAACCCCCCCCCCCCCGGGGGGCCGGGCAATATTGCGGGAACAGGCACGGGAACTAGGGGGTTCTGTTGGCGTCAGCTCGATTACTGAGATTGAGCTTGAGGATCAAATCCTTTGACCCAAAGTTCCGAGCGTTAGCTTCGATTCGGGGGGTGTTCGCGAGTCCACCTCGCAGGGCACCTCGCAGGCAAACAGCGCCATCGAACATTCTCATCCCTCCGGCCATGGCAGATCTTGCAACCTGATGTTTTCGTTCCCGAGAAGGCTGACTTGGTGAGGTTGCCTTCATGCTCATGGTTCTGCCTCCCCGTAGGATGTGAACGTGGGGTACGGAGACCAAAGTCCCAAATCAAGTAAGCGTCTGCGTCCGCGACTAAGTCTCCGACGACAAGAAGTCTCCGTGAGCTCACCCCGGCGGCTGCGATGAGGGGTTATGGCGAGGTTTGCTGCCAAGGACTGGGCCAAAAGTAATTGGCCATGTTTCGAAAAAGGACTCCCGCCTCGCCAGTCGAGCTTCCTCTCAATTGCGGCGGTGATCGCGTTTGGGATGCACTTGTACCTGGACAAGGTCGGTTGCGCCCACCACCCCCTCAAGAACTCTAATACCCTTGACCCTGTGCTGGGTTCCCATCCTTTCTTGTCGTCTTCTTCTTTATCTCACGTCATATTCGGGACATTCCAGAACAGCCAGACGAACCCCACCTGGCTAGAATGAACGGGATTTTCGAAAGGCGGCGGATCCTGTTAGGCTGCCGGTTCGTGGACTCGGTCCCCACTTTCCACGGTCCCGAGGGGGGGTGGGGAGGTCATGGGTAAACCGGGAAAGGCAGTTGAAAGTTGATACCGTTGTAGGCATCCGGCAACAGGCGAGAGTAGGCCACTGACCAGTTGCCGCTTGTCTGCAATGTGTCTGTATCTACGGCCGAGCTGCGCTGATTCCAATTTACCCCTCCTTTATCGACGTGTGTGTGTATGCGTATGGCCTCTCGTTCTCCATGAGAGAAGCTCGCTCGCAGTTGCGATAACCTCCTCCAAGTGACGGCTGCCGTGTAACACCCACAACGCACAGATACACCGTTCTGTTGGGAATGGCGGTGGTGAATGGCGGTGGTGGTTGCGCGTAGGATCTTGATCAGCGAACCCGCTGTGGGTTGTCTGGAGAAGCGAGGGGTGGGCGAGAGTCTCTCTCCATAGGGTAGCGGTGTATTGTCGTTCATGTTTGTTGCTCCAGACCGACCAACTGACACGTCGACACCCGCCATGCACGAAAAGCTCCTTCCACCGTGAGACACCATGCCCGAATGACAGCGCGGAGACTCGGCCAAGGTATGGCCAAGGGGACGAGCTGCAAGCTCAAGACGGAGATGGCGTTTCTACGCATGAGCAGATCGTGAGATCACGCCTACGTCAGCTGCCTTGCTGCTTACCACCCTCTCTATCCTTGACTGTCACGCCTCGACAGCTAGACCTTGATACCGACCTCCGCACACCTGAAAGGTGCCATCGAAGCCTAGTGATCTTCTACAAATTTTACTGAGCTTGGACATGAGCACAGTCCTGACCTCATCAAAGGATTCCGTGGGAATCTGATATAGGGTCATTCTCAAGGTTGAATGATGCCCAAACGTGTTGGTAAGTTGCCAGGTAACAACAATCAGGAGGATGCTATACCCTGGGTAGAGTGAGTTCTAGGAAGAGAGAGCCGCAGGATCCGTCATCAGAAGCCGCCGGGGTAGCTTATTGGTTTGCTATACGAAGTTTGATAGAAATAATAGTTGATTGGCTGATGAGCAGCCGTCGAAGCAGAGCTAGCAAGGAGACGAACAACAGGCGACACAATCTTACTCTCCGAGGATCTCAGCCCTATGACATGTCCAGGCTGGGCATGCAGGCCTGTTCCCTCATAGGCTCCTAGGTTCAGCGAGAGGGGTTGGCCGCCGAAGAGGACCTTGGCTAAGCCTATCTTTATGTCGTTCGATAATTGCCGCAGTCCAGGCCTCAGCATGATCAGAGGTGATTGGAAGTGACCGTATAGGGCCCGTTATCCGTGTGGATACATAAACGATCGGTAAGACTCAGAATCAGGGTCACTGCTTTTCTCCTCGAGCCAAAATCCACACTCCCACGCTTTCAGATGACACATTTTTGCACATTTCATTCGGTTTGCCGGCAAAGCTGATGTTTATCATACCTCGTGGAGGATGTTCGAGAACGTATCAGGTTCTCTATACCAAGAAGGTCTTGACACCTAAGAGCTAACCATATTGTTCGAATATTCCACTTGGTGACTCAGTTGTCCATCTCCCGATTCAGACAGTAGGCTGACCTCTGTTCCAGCATATAGCACATCTTTATCACTCTCGGTGCGCTCTTTTCCCAGTGCTCACGCACAATCGCGATTTCTGCCGTATCTGGCGGTCGTAACGGATTCACAATGCTTGCCTCGAGAATGTCAATCAGTGCTTCCACAACGCAAGTGAGATGACGCCTTCAAAGCACTTGAAACAGAATTACTCTGCCTTGTCGGTGCCCCGATATGTCGAGCAAAGATGCCGTCAACTGGCAACAATGGAAACAAGAGTGACGAAATCATCGGTCCAGTGCCGTTCACTAAGGTACTCGGCTGTGTAGAGCGAACGCTGTCACATCCCGGGCCAACGATTTTCGAGGACCGTCTGCTCCTACGTCCAAATGTGCTTGAGATTCCTCAACAGACCATGGGTCTGTCTACCGCTGGAGATCCCGCACAACTCCTACTCGATGGTGAGGCATCCGTTGTGACTGTTTGGAATCTTGGGAAAACAGAATGTCAGAATGCGCTGAAGTATGACTGAAGCCAACTGTCGAACTACGCTATGTTGTCAGCGAGGTTTCAGGCCGGTCATCTCTTGTTGAACGGGCATAATATGCTTGAATCGGGAATAGCAACATCCACAGTCGAGTGACGAAAAGCTTGCTTCTTTCTGTAGCATACATGATACTGGTGCCGGCTCCGCGGCTATCAGTTTCATCGTTGACGCGCCTCGTGGCGCTTCAACTTACCGCCACCAAGTATGTCTGGCTCCTCGGCGGCAAAAACGCAATGACATGCGAGACCCTCCAAGTCCTGTACTTTGCGCGCTTGTTGGAACAAAGATCTCTGATCGCCTCAACTTAAGATACCGTAGAGGCGCCATCTTGCCCAATCAGAAATCTCTCGTCCGGATAGTAGAGTCTTGGCCATGAACAAAGGGGCAACTGTAGGGCGTCATGAACCACGACAGCGGGGTACGGAAACGCCATGCAGAGAAAGCCGCTACATATAGGGTTTACATGCTGTCGTCGGCTTGCTCAGCACCAATCACAATATTATAGTTGCGGTCACCTCCAGCGGTTACGGGCCCAAGCAGTTGGGCCAACGATCGATGGGTGGAAAGGTGGAGGGCTGGCAATTGACTGACTGGAGCCACGTTGGCGATCTCCAGGCGTGCAGATCCGTTCTTGACGAGGTGTTACTGTGTTCTAAGCGCTCGCCGAGAAAAGGCTTGCAGAATGCATCATGCAGGCGGCCGACTGCGGGCAAACCATTACAATGAGCCATAGGTCCGGATCCCATCTTGTCTCCCGGAATTCTTCCCCACAGAGGTCGGCCGGCGTGAACCCCTCGCAAAGCTCATTTCGCGAGGGATTTCCCTGCTACCTCGAGGTCGATGGACACGATGTCCAACAGTCCCACACATTGACATCATGTAACTCAGACCTTGCGATGTGATCAAGCGTGGCCAAACCCGAACTTCAATGTATTCATTCGCAGTTGTAAGGAAACGATCAGAGGGCACCTGGTAGGTAGTGGTGACATCAATCGTCGGGCTTAATACTCCGGCGGATCGCGGCGGCAGGTTCAAGGGCCCATCCCTTGAGAGCCGGCCTGCATGATGGGACGAACGGTGGAACGAGGCAAGGGTCGGTTTCCATTGCTCACGACAAAAGCCTTGGACAACCAAGTGGGCGGCGGGTAACTTCCAAAGCCATGCCATGCCATTTCTGTGCAATGATTTTCCGTTCCTGCCAAAATCCCTTTATTCCCGCGAAGCCGGGAACGCCATATTCGCAGCGCGGGGTTCGGCTCCTGTCAGCAACGTGGGAAAGGATTGTGAATGAAATGAGGGTTTGGGATTGAATGGCTGGTGTGGCTTTGCGACTCGTGCAGGAAGAGCCACACATTCTTCCATCGCGTAATTTGCATCAGGGCAGACGCGTCTGCGGCGTCGCGGGGCCCGTATTTCTCCAAAGCAATTTAACTCAGGGAGCGCCGGGAGGGGCTATAGCCGCGAACGCTAAGTTGGCACGTTAGCCACAGTCCGTCGTGTCTCGTTCAGCGCGGGCTGAACGGCATTCTCCTAAAGGTCTATGGAGTTGGGCCCTTTAGGACCCAAGTTATCGCCACCAAGCACCTGCCACGACTCCTTGGATATGACTCTGGAAGAAGGCCACCTTTCAGTATCGGAATGTGATGCGATGGCAGTTGGGCGCAACAATAGGCGGATGAGTTCAAAGTGTCTGAAGTTTGACACTGGGCAATTGAGACGAAAATGCTCTCGCGACAGGCTTGCCCTCGGGACCTTCCTTGCTGACAGTCACAGCCCGGAAGTGGGCCTATCCCGTTGAGATCCGTCAAGAATGTCACCTTGTGGTACTTTTCAGGAGGTTTGATGCCCACATCCTAGCGGGCGCACAGAACCGACAACACCGTTGAGACTTGAAGTGTTCTTCTGCGGGTGTTGTCTCAGGTTCCTTGCCCCTTGCGGGAAACCTTGTAAGGTGTGGCCTCCCCTGGCATACATGGCCGAAAACAGAAGGGGATCAAGAGGCAGTGCGAGGGGAAAGTCTCCGTAAGAACCTGGGGTGGCCGGACGCTGTGGCAGACAGGTTCGTATCCATCAAGTTCGTGGGTCCATCTCATATAGGCCCCATCGTTGGCATCGTAGCCACTGTCCGCCTCCTTGTCCATTGTTGTAGCTTGGTCCGGGCGGGCGACGGAGAATGAGGGCTCAACACGGCTTTTCAAGGTCTAGTTGGCTACGCCAGCGTGTTCCGCCTTGAGTGATTGACGAGAAAGCACGCTTGTCATCCCAGCTTCAGGACACCAGCTGGCACCGTGGAGTTGTAAAGGAACACATCGACTTTCCAGACATTTTCATGTTGATTGGGAACATTACTGCGAAGCTTCCCACCATGTTTGGGCTAACGGAAAAGTCATGGTGCAGAATGACGAGTCCAGCAGGTGGGAAGTGGGAGACACACTTGTGTCACCAGGCTGCCCGGTGGCGAGGAGCTATTCTGAGCGACGACTCGTTGCGTGATGGCGGGGTACCTCGGCATGTGGAGGTGTGTAGCCAAAGAAAGGCGGACAGGTGCCACGACGCCATGTACCGTGTTATCGGAGGAGGTGAAACAGGCTTCCCTAAGCTTTCTGATGGGAAACAGGGCCAACAGACAATGAGTTAGGGAGATGCTGGAAGCGAGACACGGAAACAGCTGATGTCGCTTGCCCCGATTGTCGTCCTTCTCAGAGAAACCAAGAGCGGACTTCATCAGACCTTATGCCGCCTTGTTTGAGGGGAAAGAGCGGGAGGGCCGGAGAGCCACAGGAGCGAGGAGAGACGCGCAATAGTAACGGGGCTATTCAGCCTCAGGCGAACAGATTACGGCGTATAGGATTGACCTCTTCTTTTTGCGTTCGCGAAGAAATGATGAACTACCGTTGAGTCGCTGATAATTAAGTTGGGAAGCCTTGGCGGGAAATGCGGCATCAGTGGAAAGTATCGTGTGGTGTACGGGGGAACCCCTGGAGGAGGTCCAAGCAGTCAAAGCTTGCCATGGGGATGGAGGTGCCGCCGCCGTGTTGTCGGTGCCAATCTGCTTTCGTCCAGTGTGCGGCGAAGCGTTTTTTGTGCCGATGTCAATCATTCTCGAGCACGATCGTCTGTAGTAGCCACACGGCCTGATGAATGTGGTCGAAGTCACGGTCCCAAGAGAGACAGAACCCAGGCATTCAACCCGCGGTCGGGATATCAATGGCCATCGAATCATCTCTAGATGGCAAAAGTGTTATTGTGTTTCCGAGGACGCCGAGACCAGGCCACCCAAATTGAAGGGTGGGGAGCTTGCCAGGGCCCGATCGGGTGCGGCTGCCGTTATGGCTGAAGGTGGTGAAGGATCGATCACCAGAGTCTTGTTCTAGTGTTGCAGCAAAAAAAGGCCACCTTGGCAATGTTTGAACGGCTGTCGATATCGTTGCTGATTGATGAGACGGCGTTTTGCGGTGGATTCCCCCAATGCCAGGTGGGCGAGCTTCGGCTCCGTGTTGATCAGCACAGAAATAGAATACCTAGACGGGAAAAGGTTGGGGTCCTCGCAAGGGATCTGGAGTCTTGGACACTGGCCAATGGTCGCCTGTTTGGATTGGATGGTTCTTGATGCAAGCTGGACCGAGACGTTATGCTATGGCGAGCATGTTCCATAAGGCCGGTATCGTAATTTTGACCAGAAGGAGGCATGGTGGCATGGAAGCATGTTCGACGTAGCGGTGCGAGCGAGAACGAGAGCTACGCAGTAGACCCAATAGACGGGGAGACCAGCGATCCGGGCTCTAGCGAGAGTTTAGCCCCTGAAAACGGCCAGAACTTGGAGAATGGTGGGTAGCACACTACTGTGGTAGGTAGAGTGGTGAGTGGATGGTGCGTGATGGTGCTTTGCATTGACGTGCGGTTTTGTGGTAGTGTAGTAGTGGTGTAGTACCAGAGGCACAAGATGTATCCGTAGGTACTTTTCGGCACCTTGAGTTGAGGGTTCTGGTCAAGAGCAGTATCACGATGAGACTGTTGCTGATGCAGTGATGGAGTCGATGGGGTTGATACTCGCTCGTGCTCTAGCTGAAAGCTGGAACAGACGACGGGAGGAGGAGTAGAAGTCATTCCTCTTGGACATGGCGATGGCGAAAATCGATGCCAGAGCTAGAGCCAGAGCCAGAGCCCAAAGCAAGGCAATGTTGTGTCGCAAGGGGAAGGGGGAAAAGAGATTCCCATCAGATGGGACGGAATGCCAGAGGCGGTTGTTGTCTTGGATGGATGTCTTGGATCGTGTTGGATGGTGAGCGGGTGATGGTCTCCGTGATGGCGCGGGAGTCTGAGCGAGTGCCGGGGCGAAGGGCCGTGGAATGATGATGCTCCAGCTCGAAGGATTAGTGCTGCTAACCTTCCGGTCCACCGCCCTTGGGGCCCAAGGTCCTTGGGATTGGGGCACTCACTGGGTGGTGGTGTTGTGTGTCTGTAGGTTTGATTCGATGCTGGACATGATGGACGCATCGCGCTGCTGCATGAGCTGTGCACATATGGCTTGGATGCTTGGGCCAGAATCTGGAAACAGGTGCAACGACATCTGCAGAGCAGAAATGTGAATGGTGAACAGTTACCAAGAAGCAGCCGCAGCTACTCACCTACGGGCAGAAGGCGATGGTGACAGAATCCAGTGATGTGCAGGATGCAGCAGCCAGAAACGCGAGGCCCGCAACAGCTCTCGGATGCAGTTGGAACTTGCAGCTGGCAGAGGTTGCGAGGAACTCTACGGAGTATCCGTATCTAAGGTACCTTACTACACTGTCAAACAGTAAGGTACAGACAGGTACGCAGGACTCTGTAGACGAAGTTAAGTTCCTGAGGGCTGAGGAAGGAGGAGAGACCGAGAGACAAGGTACAAAGGATACTTGCCCAAGGCGGCACATTGTTGCAGATGGAGGGGCGACTTTGCCTTTGACCTCGAGTCACGTCTCCTGGCCTAAGGAAGACTACGCGGTGATTGGCCGACAAGGCTTCCATTCATCACATTGACTAGCCAAGTTGGGGTCGCCGTCGGATACTCAGTACCTCGATCTCGGGATGAGGAAGTCTCCTTGGTCGAAGCAGGAGTGATGGAAGAGCAAGAGAGCACCTGACTTGGCCACCTCATGATTTTCAATGCTCGATGCACATTAAGATGCCTACATAGGTGCCTATCTTAAGGCTTGCAATGAGTCAATGATTAGAATACCGTCCGCCGTCGTGAGGTAATGCATCAGTCATTGTACCATGAGTCAACTCGAACTTCCAGGTCGGGGGGTGGTTCGACTGAAGTAGGTATGTACAAACATACGGGGCAGGGCAATCTCTCAGCACCGAGCAGACAAGTCTTGCCGGATATGACCCGCGCAGGTATGGTAAAAGGTATGGAGGTGTGGAAGGTAAGGTACCTGATCCGTATGGTTTTGCTTCTACGTAGAGTTGCGGATAATACTATTGAGTGTCCGGTAAGAAAGCAAAAAATAAAATAAATAATAACTGAAGAAAACGAGAAAGAAATGGGATCGCTGCTCGGCTGCCGTCAGTCATCATCCCTGGCCGTGCCTTGTTACCAAGTCGCATTCCTCGACTGGATAATCAACTTTGATGAAGCCACGGCTGGACCCATCAGGCCGCCGCCGCATTGCCGACGCGGTCTTGCCCTGATTGACACTTGAGCCACGGATATTCGTACGGAATATTCAGGTAATTCTGCGTGTGGCACTGGTAAAATTCGTGCAGTCTATTTAGTTTTTTCTCCTTGCGACTTCGCCTTCATCTTTCTGGTATTTGCTGGTAGGTGCCCTCCTTGTCTCCTTCTTCCTGCAGGCTGTGGTGGATAGATGAAAGTGGAGTCTGTCCATTATGGAAAGTCCAGATGCAGACACAGCAGGACCTCTCTATCCTTTCTAGTGCATCTTCATAAATGAAAAGGAAGGAAAAAAGTCAAAGGGTGCGGTACGGGAAGGCACTCAGGTAAGGCGCAAAGGTACATCTGGATCTGGCGTGAAATGGCATGGTTGACCCACTCGAGAGACCCTTGCCCTCGGTTCTTGATCATATCATTGGCCCGTTTTGTCGCCCGTCTCTGACCCCACCCATCTTGATTGGTCAGGCGCTCGCCTTGAATTGGTAGAGTTGGGTAGGGAAGTGGACCCCGTGGAACTATGGGTGGTGTGCATCACGACCGTCGACCTGGCAGGACCTGGGCCTTGTCTGGCGGCCTGGCCTTGTCCCCCATCTCCACTTTCTTTGGGCTCCCCTGGATGGTGCACCTGCTTGGTGCTTGGTGCCTGCCCTTTCACATCCTTGTCTGCCTTGGCCGCCCTGGCCCGTCCTGGTCTGGTTCCCTCCTCCCCCCTCTCTCCTCCACCTTCCACCCACCCCCGTCTCCTGCCTATCCGTTCCATTGTGAGTGTCTCCTGCCACTGCATTACTCCTGCTTCAGTGGACTCTCTCTCAAACTGGCAGTAGCGACTGACCGGGCTGCAATTGCTCGTGCTCAGCTCCTGCTTGCTGGTAGGTACTGCTTACCTTCTTCTCTTTGCTGGGTGCTCCTGCTGCCGCCGCTGCCCACACCTCTGGACCACACCTTTCATCCACCCCTTGTCCTCCTTGCCTGTGCTTCGTCCACTCCTTCCCTCCCACGCCGCCGCCGCGGCACCCACCCATCCACTCACACACCACTCGCACCACTCGCACACACATCCCATCTCCATATCTTGCCGTCCACTCGCTGCCAGTCTCCATCTTCTACTTCTACTTTTGCCCTCTCTTCCTCTCGTTAGCTCACCGCCCTTCTTTTTTCCCTCCTTCAACCCTTCTCCCCCTCCTCTTTCCCCCCGCCGCTCTGGTCTGCGATTTGTTCGTTATCGTCGTCGTCTTTTGGAAGGATAAAAAAGAAAATTCAAAGAAAAGAAAGACAAAAAAAAGCCCACAAAGCCCAAAAAGCTTTCGCATTCTCTTGAGATCCGTCTCGCATCATTTTTTCAACCAACCGCACAAATTCTTCAGGGGTTCTGGAAGGCTTGCTCACCACAACCACTACGCAATTTCGCTCGACCACCACCACCGCACGCCAAATTCTTCCCCCATCCTCCGAAAGAGACGAAATCAGAAGGAACAAAAAGGAATCCGGACCAATCCGCCAGCAATCGCATTGTGCATTTTGCATCCTGTCTAGACCATCGACACACAACAACCCAAACTATCCGAGAAAACACTTTTTAATCGACTGTATTCTACTTCGACTTCGTCCATCCGTTTCTTCTTCGCAACAAATACATCAGAGAAAAAGTCCACTTCTTAATTTTCAGCACCGCTCCGTCCCATCCGACGTATAGCAACGCAAACTCTCCCAGACGCAGGCACATCAGGTTCGCAGCTACCCCACAACTATTCGGTTTCTTGAGGAAGCCACAGTTGCCTAACTTTCTCTCCTGCCAACCTTGTAGCGACAATACTCTCGCTTGCGCCTTGAACAAAGAAGAGTTAGTTCTTTGTGGTCCACACCTCTTTCCTCGACCATAACCGCTTCTTGCCAAGTGTCTCTAGACGCCCCAGTGCTGTCTACACATCTTCATCGGCATCACATTGTCGCCCACTCTTTCATCATTACAATCATTTTTTGTCTTCCCTTGACCTCGACGCCCGGTTACGCGACCACCTAATCTCACCCACCACCCACGCCGTCAATCGATATCATCCAAAACACTGCCGATTTTTGGATTTCGACTTTTTGGCACCTTCAACAACTCCGTCGACAGCCTTTTGCTACGATTCCAGGACTAGCTCCGGATTTAGGCCAAGGATCGTTCGGACACAAAACTGCCTTCACGGACAGAACTGCCAACCGAGTATCACAATATCTCTCTTGACAGGCTGCGCTCCGCATTCTTCCACTATCCTTCTTGTAATTCGACCTGGTCGCCTCAGCCACTTGCAAGGCTTCCATTTCTCATTTTCCGAGTCTCGACAACTCGGATAACCCGGCAATTCCGCCAACTCATTTCCGCGACCGACATCGATTCCCGTCTGAGCAATGGACGCAGGCGGTCTCGCTCAAATGAACTCAACAAACTTCTCCTCGGGCAACAGCCTCGCCATGCCTGGCGGAGGTCTCGCCTCGCGCCGCGGTGGCCCCGTCAAGCCTCTATCGCTGTCCAGCGCCACTCCCGGCAGCAACGCCGCCGACAATGGGGCGCCTACTCCCCGTACCAGCCGCTCCCATCTTCTTGCTGGTTTGAGAACCGCTCCGAAGTCCGCTACCGCCGCCAACTTTTCCGCTACCAACAACGCCAACGTTGCTTCGCCCACGTCTCAGTCTTTTGCTGCTAGGAGCAACAACCTGAGCTCCAATATGTATGCCCAGGCCCAGGGTAACCAGTACAACGGCCCCAAGACAGCCCTTCCTCGGTATGCTGGTCAGCAGCAGCAGCAGCAGCAAGCCTACCAGTCTGTTCCCTCCAGCCAGCATTACAGTGCTGAGCAGGTTCTTGCTCCTCCTGAGATTCACTTCGATGAGCAGGAACAGATGGACCCGAGCTTGTATGCCCAGCTGGTTGCCACCAACATGTACCTTGCTCAGCAGCAGCAGCGTCTTCAGCAACAGCTTCTCAGTGTTCAGGCCGCCGCTCAACAATTCCAGGGCCTGAATCTGCAAGGCGCCCAGCAACAGATTCAGCAGCAACAGCTCGCCATGTACCAGCAGCAGCAACAGCTTCAGAGCATCCAGCAGTCGATGATGGGACAGATGCAGCAGCCTCAGCAACAGGTCTACACGTATTACGACCCCGTTACGCGTCAACAAGGCTACTACATTGACCAGGGGCAAATCGACCAGCAGGCTCAGCTGACTCAGATATACGCCGCCTTGGCTCAGCAGCAGCAACAGCAGCAGCAAGCTCCTCGCGTCCAGGTGTCCCCTCCTCCCGAGAACCACGCCACTCCGTATCGTACTACAACCCCTCCCAAGCGCTACGAGTCACCCTCTGAGGTTGCTCCTCTGCCTCCCCCGTCGGCGAATGCCTTTCGCCGTGGCCATAAGAAGGTCATGTCGCTTGCTCTGAATGGTAACAACCAGGCCAGCCTTTCGCCTTCCCAAGAGCCTCCCAAGTCTGCTGGTCCCAAAACGGCCTCTTTCCCGTTGACTCCTCTGTCCGGCGGCTACGGGCCCGGTCAGGGACGCGCCGGCGAGCACCCCATTCGTCAGCCTCGTGGACCTCCTTCCATTGAGGAGTTGAAGGCCAAGCCCATTGCAAAGATGGAGGGCAGCAAGAACTTTGCCACCCGCGCCCGCCGATCTGCAGTTCACAACCTTGTCCGTGCTGGACGTGAGCGTAGAAAGGGCCCAGGCAGTTCCAATGGTAGCATGAGCCCGGTCTCAGAGAGTGCTGAAGAAGAGTCTGGTACCCCCATCACCGACAATGAGTCCGACTCTGGTCGCAGTGGATCCGGCAGCCTTGCCGGCGATATCGACTGCTCCCTGCCTAGCTCAAGAACTTCGACCAACGGCAGCTGGGGAGCTATTGGTTCCGACCGCCCGAGCTCCCGTCAAAGAACTCGCAAGAGTGTTGACAGCATTGGCAGCAACGAGAGCGGCGAGAACAGCTTCGCCAGCGTCTTCAAGAACTCGGCCCAACGCGCCGGTGTTGAAGTAGCGGACGGACAGCGCAAGGCGCCCATGCTGGTCTTGACCAGCGCCGAGAAGCGCAAGAGCGGCATTCTTGCGTAGACTTGTTGGTCCCCGGACGTTACGACGACTATGCACACCTATGTCTTTCCTTATTGACGACCTGCATGAGGGGGAGGTTGACCCTCGGCCCCATACCCTGCAGGATTGAACGATGGGTTGGACGGTCTGGCGCGCTCTTACGAATCATATGGTGTTCTTTTCGAGGGGTTAGGTGGCTCATTTTACATTTCAGCATCCGAGGCTTGGTTGACTCACAAATTCATTTTCACTTCTTTTACATTCTTAACCAAGTCATGGGATTATCGACAGCCTCTCGCTACTGATATTCCTCGCATGGCTCTGGACAAGCAACACCTCACAGACTCACAACAGTCTTGGAGCTGGACGGATCGAGAGAAAGATATACCATTGGGGCAGGGGAGTAAGGAAAGATTTTGGCCAAGCTTGGGTTTCTTTCTTCTCAAGTGAACATGGAACTTTGGTTCTGCGCGACGGGACTCGGAACAATTTCCTGAGATGGAATCGGATGAGCCCGGACGACGTGAGACGCTTGCTTTTCGTTTTCTCTTTAAGGTCCTCGTGGGAATTCTCTACAGATAAGGTAAACACAAATTCGCAGTCGTTTCGTCGGCGCTGGCTGGAAAGTCGGCCCGACGATCATGATGATGGCGGCTGACAGGACAGGAACGTAGTTAGCATAGCAATAGGCACAATACAGATTGATGCCCAACAATTGTTCTGTCCATATTAACAGCGCCAAGTGATTGATTATAACCAAGGTGTACGGTGCGTAACCCTATTTAGTCTATGCTTTGTTGCCCGACTTGAATGATTCCGCCATCTTGTCAAACATCTTTTTCTTGTCCGTCTCGACGTGAGCAAAATTCTTGGCCGGCCCAACGATGATTTCATCCTCCTCCCCCTTCTCGAGCGCGGCCCAGGTCTCGTCGGTGAACTCTTCCAGAGGCATACCAAAGTTGGTCTGGCCCGCCGCGACCAGGTCCGGCTGCTGGGAGTGCAGCTCCGTCTGCACGGCGGGCGGGACGACCTCGATGACGCGGACGTGGGCGGAGGACGGGCTCGACTGCAGCTGGGCGCGGAGGGACCAGGCGAGGGAGTGGAGGGCGGATTTGGTGGCGCAGTAGTTTGGGCAGCGGGGGATCGGGACGAGGGCTAGGCCCGAGGAGACGAGGATTATGGATGTCGTTGTTCGAGCGGTGCTGATGCTGGTGTTGAGAGATTGGAGGTGTGGGAGGAAGTGGGTTATGAGGTGGATTGGGGCGAGGTAGTTTGTTATTAGCTCTGCTGAGACGGAGGGGAGGGAGATTGTGGAGGGGGAAGTGAAGTCTATGCTGCGCTGGATGCCTGCGTTGAGGATGATTGTGTCTAGGGTTGGGTGGGTTGATGTTATTCTGGAAGGTTTGTTAGTTTTAGCATGTTGTCGTTATGTGGGATGGAGGGGGCTGGCAGTTGAGGTATCTCTGGTGACGTTGCCGTGCTTTCATGACGGAGAGGATGTAGAGATGAGGTAAACTCACTTCTCGACCCACGCCGGCAGGGCCGCGAGGTCGGCGATATCAAACGGCTCGGCGGCGACTTTATCGGCGCCGTGGGCGGAGACGAGGGCGTCGAGGCGGTCTTCGCGGCGGCCGACGGCGATTACGAAGGTGCCGTTTGCGATTAGGCGCTCGGCGAGGGCGAGGCCTATGCCGGATGTCGCGCCTGTGATGAGGGTTGTTTTGGAGGGGAAGGGCATTGTGATTGTGGTGGTTGTGTGTGCGCTTCAGTGGTTGAGCTTTTGGAGGGCTGGTGAGTTGTGAGTCTAGCTTCCCTGTTGCAAGGCTGGGAGGTGTATTGGGCTTTCGATCCCTCTGATCGAAATAATGGTGAACTTCGAACTTGTTGCGGGGTGGTGGTCGAGCCGATCTTGAGCCGATGTGTTTTGATAGGGTGTCTGAGGTGTGAGGGTCATTGTGACGTTCCCCCTGCTTCCGCGATCGCGGATCCGGTGGGGCCGGAGGATATGAGCGGGGGTGCAGCCGGCTTTTCTTTGAGCGATGATACTCGGGACGATGTGACGTTGATAGAGGAGGTTCCGTGCAGGCGGATATCAGTGGGGGCTGCTTGATATGTTGGAGATCGGTCGATGGGGGTGTTTGCTCTCAATCTGATGTTGTTGCTTAAGGCTTGTGTCGATCGGACGGTTGTTAATGAAGCTGAATGACTTGAGTAGGCGGTTGTCGTTGAGGTGTATACTTCCGCCTTGGATCATTATTTGCTCACGCGGGTGTATCTATTGCAGCCAATGTGCAGAGAGTAGGGGACGATCACAACGGTGAAGACCGAGAGCTATTGTACAAGCTGATATGATTCTTCTGATCAAGATGAGTGAGTGGGCGAGCGCGAATGGAAAAACGACGATGGAAAGCTCTGTTGAGAGATGTGCACATTCACTGATTACATTCTCTGGGGTATTCATAACTGGATACAGGTGTGAAAACAGGGCGAGAACACAAAAAACACTATATGTTTGATGATCAAGTATGGGTAGCAATACTGGCAGGGAGTGGTGATCACTCCAAGTTATGCGGCAGGGAGCAGTTTATGGCCGTCAAGTCTAGGGGCATGGCAAGCCAGCTGCGTGTTAATCAATTCAGGCTTGGCCTTTATATCCCAGTAGGAACCAAGTATGGGCTACTCATCAAGTGGTCCAAGGCGATACTTGACATAACTGGAGTGGTAATGACAATCGAAAAGCATCTGGCAATGGTCAAGTAAGATTGCAAGAAAACTGTTGCAATATGGCAGAGGTCTCAGAAAGGGGAGTGGCGATCGCAAGGAAACTAGAGCCGGCTGACTAATAAGAATAGAGGGAATACGATACCTATTTGAGGAGCTCTGTTTAGAACCCGGGACTGAACCCCAATGAGAGCATCCGGCTTCGAGGATTGAAGATGATTTAAGCTCCATCGACTAGTCTCAAGCCAAGTTGAGCCTATGTTGGACGTGTTCCTAGCCAGTATTGCTAACCGGCTTGGGAAGTTAGCTGTGTGCGGCGCAGTCAGACCCATAGATCTATATGTCACTGGGCCGTCTATGGAGACAGAGGGGAAAAATCCAACTTCACTCTTCCAACAATCACCACCTTTGCGCCTCTAGCTTATTCTCCCAATCAGATTGGAGCCTCCACGGTAACCCATATCTGGCTCGTAGCGGTCCACCATGCCCACTTTTGACTGCTTTCCCCTGCTCCCCCTCGAAGTGCGTTAACGCATCTGGGAGCTTGCCATGGAACCCCGCCAGATTGTGTACGGCGAAGAACCACCTGCCTACAGGCAGTGCCCCTAGCCATCATCTGCGCCGTCGCCTCCTCTACTTCACACCTGCCTCGAATCTCGGACGCACCTCCAGCGCTTTCACGCCAAGCTGAATGTCCGACGATGCGCAAGGTCATCATTCTTGGAACAGACTGCGAGTTGTTCTACTACAACTGTTGCTCAGAGCTACGTCACATGGAGCGTCTGGAAACTGTCACAATCCTTCATCTGGAGTCACCGGAGAGAATAGACGAGAATTGGTGGGCCGGTTGGGATGACATGATGGCCGGCTACTATTTCCGTGACGACCCTGTCGCCTTCTACACGCGGATTCTTGACCCCAAGTACCCGCCTTACGAGATCAACCCGGAGAACTACCTGAAAGTTGAGCGAGCCCACCGAAGAAGGCTGGTGGCGGAGCAACCCGACTAGTACGAGCCGGGCTATGAGGTATCCGACTCAGACGACGACGTCTGTGGACCAAACCGCTTTCGCAAAGGCTACGGCCGTCATCTGGAGGGCTACACTGCGCCCCCGTGGTCATCCAACCAACCTGTGCAGTCAGGATTGGATGGCGCGCATGTACATCGGAAGAAATTGAGTAGAGCGGCAGTGGATCAAGTCGCAAAGTAGAAGGGTGGTTGGCGATGGTCAAGCAGGCCGGTGAGAAAAGGAGGATCGTAATGAGGTAGATACCCAAGACGTTAAAGAAGGCATAGGTAAGGTAACGTGTAGAAGGTTGAGAACTAGAGAGACTGAAAGTGATCCGCTGCCTCAAGTTAGTAACTACTTGGTGGCATTACTTGTCTTTTAGACACACAAACAATAACGCTTGTATCACAATGAAAAAGTGCCTTGCAACTAACTACAAGTACCTTCGAAAACAATAATAGGCACAGGGGTGGAGAATAACGACTTGGTCTCGCGGAACGCATGTCCCAAGCCCGCCGCAAGGTTCCTCCTTTCCCTCTCAACACAAGTGATGATGGACTATTGCAGTAGAAGTTGCAGCTATTCGTTGTCGATAAACAGAACCAGCCCAACCGCCTATTCAGCGTAAGCCTCGCTCAACATAGACTGGAGTCTTTCGGCGATTCTGTCGTTCTTAATGAGAGGGACTGGGTAATACATGCCCTTGTCAAAACATGCCGTGACGAGATGATGGATAGGTTCGTCTGGTGATTGTCCAGCTTTCCCCAAGTAGTATTCGAAGCCTATTCGCGTGGCCTACGTGAGGGCATCAATGGAGATGCTGTTACCGCCAGGTGCCTAACATGAAAAGTTCAGATGCTGGAAAAACAGATCTTGTATCTGATTTACCTATGGATATGCATGACGTTCTCACGTGGTCACAAAGTTCGGGTTTTATGATCGAGCAATAGGCCATCGTCTAATTCCAGGAATATCAAATTATAACTATCACGCAGATTTTTGCGCCTACCCGACCCGCATTCCCTTCTCGGTACCAAACATCTTTCTTTTGACAGGATCACTCACGGCGAGAAAAGCCCAATGTAGCCAGTACCCTCATGAATGACGTCTTGGAGTTGTAGTTGCTGGTGGGAACGCCAAGTTCTCGCTTAGCGGCATCAACAAGAGTCAACGCGTTCTGGCGCTGCATCTTCTCGATGTCATTGACCTTTTTCGCGGTGTCCAGTTCCTGATGGAGATGCCGGATTTCCTTGGCCAACCTCTCCATCTCCTCCATCTGCATCAGCACGTATTTCTGAGCACGAGCAACGTACCCTTCGTATTCCTTTACACATTTGTACGTTAGTAAGTGCGCTTTACAAAATTCCGAGTTCCACAGGCGGGGACTGGGGAAGGCTTAGGTTTCAAGTTACCGCTTGGAGTTCTTTCAGTTGATCTTCGAGATCTCGGATATCTCCTGCCCATGACTGACTCTTCCAAGGCGCTTCGCCGGGCTCAGGGTCACGCCATGGCGTAGATGACATTGAGTACGCGGGAGACGGCTCAGAGGGGACCACGATGATTTGATGACCATCTTCGGAACATGGCGACTGCTCGGTTTTTTCTATCATTGCTTCTTGCCGGTTGGCTGTCTAGAAGCTGAAGGTTACTTGGCGGAGGTTGGGCGTAAATTATGATACAATTCTGAACTGAATATAATTGAGGGGACAATTTAGGACGTTATTTGGAATTCCGCGTGACTTATGTGTAAGTCGATAATGTATCAGGATTGACTGTCAGATGATGTTCAATTCGGCTATTTAGCATCTACTTACTTATATTCGAATAAGTACTTTTCGATATGTTGCACTAGAAAGATTTGTTTTGAGCATGAGTTGTCTAGAAGCTTCAATGACATTCACGCCTGGCAACATTGTATTTCTAGAAATCCGACATGGAATCCCTCCTCAGCCCCTACAGCCTTGAGATCTTGTATTCAGCCTTGAATGTCCATAGAAAGCTTTCTTGACCAATATGAAGCTCTTACTAACTAAGAGTGTTCACATGAAACTGCATTTTCATTAAGAATCACTTGAATTGTGTTACTTATACACCGTTGACTTCTCGATTATCTTTCTCCTTATTCTATCGAGAATAGGCACCTGTAAGACAAATGTAAGGGCGTAGGCAGAAGTCGTCCAGAGATCTGCAAAGCTTGCATATTTCAATTCCCTGTTGTTGTCTCTGTCATGTGGGCTGGCGACCAACTCATGCTATGACATCTCACCTTTTACTCCAATTAGATTGAAACATATAGGATCAGAGCTTTATGAACTGTACTGATTGATGTGGTCACATCTCATGAGGAGATGTGGGATATAGTGCCACAGAACAAGCACATACGAATCAAGCCTCCGCATTCGCCACAAAGTGGCTGACAAGGTCTCAGCATCATTTGGATCACTCTTTCACCAGTCCATTTCTACATGAAGAATAGTTTCAGAACTAGGCCTAGATTTCTCAAAAACCACTTCAGAGGTTCCGGTACGTCTCACTAACTGCCCGCTCAAAGCCATCTACCGTTAGTTACCGAGAGGGAAGTTCCGTCGCTGAAGCCGTGATGGATATAAGAGTCTGGAACATTTCCAATCGCGCACGTGCCCACTATTACTGTACTGCCCAGATGCAAAGGACAGGGGCGGGCCAAGGGGAAACTTGGCGCCGTCTGTTGCCCTGAAACTCCTGCAGCCACCACTCAATTTCCCTTTTGCTCCCGTCGAATAACGCTACGCGACGCCACTATTTCCCCAAAGTTCCATTCTCGATTGATTATCGCCAAGACGGAGAGATGGGGGCGAGGCGCTCTTGGCTCTGCTCCGAGCGTCACTCGGAAATAGAAACTGACTTCACGCCCACATCACGGTCGAGGGTCCTCTGCAATCCCTCTGTCTGCTGTCGTTCCAGAACGCAGTCGACGCCGTGTTGCCAGGTGTTTGAGGGAATTGATTTGGCGTGCAGCAAGACCTTCGACAACGTGAAAGAGAGTGAGGCTTGGAATTGGCGGCGACGAATACTCGGGTGAGTCGGATGACAATGTCTGTCAAGTTGTCATCGCCGTTGGAAAGGCTGGTCGCCTGAAGGCCTCCCTAATGAGGAAGCTCTAGAAGCGAGTAGGAATCTATACCATCACACAGCAGTCATTACGTAGCAGTATCAGAGAATCAACTCTCGCATACCGGCAAACCCAAATCGCTCGAGAGAGGACGTGAAGGCCAAAGGTGAGTACTATGGCTTAGTAGCCCAGTAATGAATCTGATGATAACCTGATCGTTGAAGCTGGCCAGCCACTTTGCGCTTATCGCGGAGGCGAATTATCCAAGTAATGCAATTTAGGTCTCAAAAGTGTTGGCATTGCTGAGAACTGCATGTGGGATTTCCAGACATGTGACGTGAGGTGTTATTGATTACTTACTCTGTACTACAGTAGCATCATAAAAAGGAAGAATCCTCTGATGCCAATTCGTCAACAAAGGGAAATGCCAAGAGTTGATATCTGCCCACTTTTGATATAACTCACAGCTTCCCCATTCATCGATTCATCCACAAAACAAACAGCATTTGCCAACCTTCCACTTCTTGCCATTTCGTCGCAGCCAAATTTCGGTTTGTCGCCAGACTCCGCAAGGTCCGTGCAGGATTCTGCAAGGCCGGACGTAGCAAAGGCCGTTGCTCATTACTCTCTCGGATTACCCCCGCATCCCTCAGTAACACGATGTCGCACTTACATTCCTCGTTGTCAACGATTCTCTATGAGGAGACAACTGAACAGCATCCTTTGAAATTGAAGCATCTATCTTTACAAGCGTTTCTTCTTGCAACATTACGTGCTTCTGCTGTGCCCTCGGAGGATTTCTCTGCTTATTGTCCGGAACGGGCCGTCTACGAAGCTGGGCATATGCCGGGTCCCACGGGTGTAGGTAGCTGTTGTGGCTAAGCATCAACACCACAGCTATTACTTCTTGTCTTCTGCAACTGCCCACGGCACTCATAGTCGACAACTCTGCATATGTCTTCGATCCATCCAGGTACTCGAGATTAAGTTTCTAAGCGCCAGTCGCCTGACCAAAAGAGCATCCTCCCCAGCAAGCGAGCTGCTCGTCAGACGCCAAGAGATAGTAGGGTAGCAGCGCTTGATAGGTTGGATGCGCCGGCAAACCTCTAAGAGGTGGAGAATTGCCGCGCCAAGACACCAGTTGTTCAACGCCTGCCATTCATCTCCCAGTCGTTTCCTCGATACATGGGTTGGGACCACAATCTCGCACCCGCACTTGATGTTTACACGGCCTACCTCCGTCCTCCGCGGCCCCCTCTTGGCCTTCCTAATACGCTCGGGTCTGTAAGCCATCATGCTACCTTCCCGAAGAGAGGACCGACCGAAAGCCTCATGGGCGAATTACTTAGTCGCCTGGCCGTCCGGCGCTGTACATCTCCGATGCGGGCGAGCATGTTCCCGTTGGCCTTCCGAATCTGAAGATACAGCCGCTCCGAAGCCGATGATCTGCACCTCATTTAAGCATAATGCCAAACTTAAACAAGCGTGAGAGGCGTGAGTTGGCGAGACCCAGTGCCGGGCCAAGAGATCCTGCACCTTATTGCTGAGCAGGCTAACAGCTCCCGTGCTCCCCAACCGTTGCCCCCAACACGCCCAACCTGATTCCTATCTTGAGGATCTTGTACTCCTTCCTATTTAGCTATGCGTATACCATCGCATCGCGGGGTAGGCGGTAGCCTCCGAAGACACCTTGAAGGACTCACCCGACTAACACTGCTAGCACTTCGCGGGGTAGCTCCCTTCTCAAGTGCCTTTTGAGGAAGGCGGCGGGAGCTCTGGTGATATCATGGCTGCAGTGACATCGCAGGGCGGATATCTTTTCGAGAGCTCCTTGTGGAACGCCCTGTTGATACCGGGGAAACCTGCGGTGACATCGCAGTGCAGATGTCGTCCGAAGTGCCTAGTGAGGAAGTTCCGCTGATCTCTTGGAAGTCTGCGGTCACATCGCGGGGCCATTGTCTTCTGATGTGCCTGTTGAGGAAGGCCCAGCTGGAATCAAGGAAACTTACGATAACATCACAGGCCGGCTTGGAGGCGAATTGGGAAGGAGGAGTTCCACGATGGCTGGGGCGATGGAGGACTCCATCTTGAGTAGCAAGTTAGCAAACAACAAGACCATGATTCTCGTCACGATCCTTGAGCCAAGTCTAGTATATAAGTTTGCATCTTGTCGTTCAATCTGGAAGCTTTTTTTGATCAGCACTCTAGACTCATCTGACTCTTCAGCAGCCTCCTAGACTCACCTCACTTCCCATCCACCCCGTTGTCTACCTCTTCAGAACGCCAATCATGGAGCTCACCAAGTTCCTCGGTTTCCTGGCCATGGTCCTGCCCATCGCCTACGGTGCCCCCACCTCGGCCGCGACTAGCCTTCACCCCAAGATCCTGGCCGCCATGAAGCGCGACTTCGGTCTGGATGCCGAGGCTGCCACCAAGCGCGTCGCCTTCGAGCACCGCTCCGCCGATGTCGTCGAGTCCCTCAAGGGCTCTGCTGGCTTCGCCGGTGCCTGGATCTCCGAGGACGGCACCACCCTCAAGGTCGGTGTCACTGACGAGGCCCTTGTCGCCGATGTCACCTCCGCCGGTGCCACCCCCGTCATCCTCGCCAACCCCCTCTCCAAGCTTGAGGAGGCCAAGGCCGCTCTCGATGCCATTGACATCGAGGCCCCCGCCCGCCGCGACGAGGCCTCCGCCTCTTCTGGCATCGCTTCCTACTTCGTCGATGTCGCCGCCAACAAGCTCGTTATCGAGTCCCTTGCCGGCAGCACCGCTACCGCCGAGTCCCTCGCCAAGGAGGTCGGTCTCGCCGCCGGCGAGTTCGAGGTCCGCACCGTTGCGTCGATGCCCTCCACCTTCGCCACCGTCCTCGGTGGTGATGCCTACCTCATCAACCGTGCCGCTCGTTGCTCCATCGGTTTCTCCGTCACCACCGGTTTCGTTTCCGCCGGTCACTGCGGTAGCGCCGGCGACACTGCCACCACCTCCGCTGGTGCCTCCCTCGGAACCTTCTCTGGCTCCGTCTTCCCCGGCTCTGCCGATATGTCCTACATCCGCACCGTCTCCGGAACCACCCTCCGTGGCTACATTGACGGATACGGACGTGGCGACCTCCCCGTCTCCGGCTCCACCGCCTCCGCTGTCGGCGCCTCCATCTGCCGCTCCGGCTCCACCACCGGTGTCTTCTGCGGTACCGTCGGCGCCCTCGGTGCCACTGTCAACTACTCCGAGGGACGTGTCACCGGTCTTACCCGCACCAGTGTCTGCGCCGAGCCCGGTGACTCTGGTGGTTCTTTCTACTCTGGCGCCCAGGCCCAGGGTGTCACCTCAGGAGGTTCCGGCGACTGCACTTCCGGCGGTACCACCTACTTCCAGCCGGTCAACGAGATCCTGTCCACCTACGGCCTCACCCTTGTCCGTGCTTGAACAATCAATCATCTCGCGGCCTTCGGTAGCAGCACCTGAGCTGATTTTATTCTTTTGAGTATATTTTGGACCCCTTCTGTATGTAGAGAGATGAGTATGAGGACATGAAAGCATGATGCCTTCCGATAGGGAAAATATATTTACCATCTGCAAGAAATATTTCGCCCTTAACAACCGCCATTGTGAATGACTTTCCAAACTGTAAGTAGTATGCTTTGAATGCATGTGAGTGATTGTAAAGTTTGCTCGTCACGCCTTCCATGCAGAGTTGATCTCTGACCCCACAGCCACATCCGAGTGGCTGGTCATTCATGTGGCTGGTTCTGTGTGCCTAAACTCTGTCTCAGAAAAGTCAAAACTCTCTCGGCCCTGCTCGTTGAAGATGCGTCGAAGCCTGCAGGATGCTGAAGCATGATGTTTTCCAAATCCGTACTGCAAGTAATAGACAGGCAAGAAGTTTTGCCACCCAGTGGCCGGGAGCCAGAATGACAACGCAGATCGGTTGCTCACCCTCTCGAATTTTGACGACCACCGCTTATGAGACCGCGCCGAGATCACTGTATCTCTATACGCTTGTGGCAGCATGAGAAAGCCTCGTTCCTTCGAATCCTAACGTCATGCGAAAGCGACAGGCAAGGTAGTGCCGGTGCAGTGCCAGACTCTTCCATGGCTCGCACGGCTCAGCCAGGTGTCCCATACTATGGACCGACTTGACGTCTCGCCACAGCTCTCGATAGACATGATTGGATGGCAAGGCTTTCTCATTCACTTCAATCTAAACGTTGGAGATTAGATCCTGACTTCAACAGTTCGACAGGTCTGACCAAAGAGGTTGAGAGACTGAATGAAAGTCTTGTTCCAGTCTTGCATTCATTGCCGCTTGAGCCACAGTCAGAGGCAATGGAGAGCGTTCAACGTAGTGCTTTGCATGATGTACGCTTCATCTTGATGCATCCAGTTGATCGACATGGAGGCATATTACGACGGCTCTCAACAGCTTGGGGAGGCGAGGGGAGTGTCCATGGTCCGCTCATCAACGGGTGACTTCTGGAAACATTGGACGGACCAAGAATAAAGAGATGCATCAAGAAGTGCATCTCTATATGTAGGATGAGAAGGCTTTTGTCTCCCAGGTTCTTCAGTGACAGTGACGATAACACGGGAGAAGTCTGGCATATCAAATGTTCGAGGGCAGAAAGACGCTGCCGGCCGCGAGCTTAACCATAGACATGGAATGTGATAGTCTATTCGGCTTACGAATTCTCGACCGACAGCTGAACGGCCACGCAACGGATTGATATCGCACACAGCTTTGCTCGGCATCTTGGCTTCACCAGCGAGCTACGAACCCCGAGAGTACTGCACCAGCAGCCTTGGCTCTCTTGAAAAACATCAGAAGGAGCACCCAGCCACGGGCCAAGCAAAGAGCCTTCTACCAAGGCGACCATTGGCATTCCCTGTGAGGTGTTCGAGCCCCAAATGTCCTGTTCACTACATACATCTACGGATCATTGCTGGGATGCAGCCCTTTCGGACCTGCGTACGCACATCGACACATTGGGGAGTTCCTGCAATGCATCCGACCCCGCCGTTTGCTTCTGCTGCTGCGTAATTATGCAAGAACTTGAGCTCTTGCTGGGATTTTCGCCGACACTAAGCTCGCAGCCGGGCTAAGAAATCTCGAACGCCCTAGCAGTCGAAGAGGACTCGAATTTCGTCGGTGCGTCTTCGCCTTCGCAGCCCCCCTCCCATTCATCTGGAGCCTGCAACTTTCAGCAGGCGGCCACTCGGCCGGGGTTTCTTCCAGTCTACAGACCAGTCATAGGGCCATGCTATCTAGAAAGAGGATCGACGGGGAACCGCGCAGACCTGCCTCCAGTTTTGCTCAGACGCCGTGGATATCTCGGCATCCGGTGGCAGGAGACTGAAGCCGGCTGGAAGGTCTTGGAGGTTGACTTGGCTCAACCGACGCCCTGAGAGGCTCTTCCGACGTACTCGTTCAACTGTGACATTGATTCTTGTCATGGAAGGCAATGCAGAGTAGAGAATGTCAAGACTCTGGCAGAAGACACCTAGTTCTTCCTTTCGATGGTCTCTCTCGCCTTCCCCAGGACGCACGGTTACCTGCCCGAGAGCCAAAGCCATCACCTCCGAGGTTCTCGATCGATCTAGACTTGGTGTGAAAGCCCACATGCCCTGGGAGTTTGGCCGCCAACGGGCTGTTTCTCACACTCTGTTGGACGATAATAGAAGGCCAATCTAGAGATAGAACTCAGCCTTGCGCCAGACCCGGAGAACTCAAATAGAAGCAGCATGGCGTTGCGCGCCACATTCCGTAATTTGGTAAAGATCTGTGTGCTTCTACGGCTGATAGCTGATCAAGAAAAGGAATGGAAGCCGTATGCCTTGGCTTGTTTCGATGCTAATCGTGCTTGTCAGCCCCTTCCTCAAAATGGTGTAGCTAAACAACTCGGGGCCGTTCTGTGAGGGCCATCGTCCGAACCAGTACACAAACCAGGACACGGATCTCCGCTCGGCAGACCCACAAGATGGGGAAGGGCTTGGAGGGTTACTGTCCGCAGACCGAACTCAGCGGCCGGCTTCGTGGTCCTGTCAAACGTGACGTCCGACGTGGACCCTGGAAATAGGCTGTTGCGGCGGATGTGAAGTACTGACTGAATGCATCATCAGGACAACAGTCGATATTCATGGCCAAATCGAGGTGCGCGTGGCAATATTCTTGCCTGTTGAATTTGAAAGATGTTAAGGGAAGCAGTCATCAGTAGCCATTCTTCAATGGCGTACGGAAGAGAACGCGTCATCTGAGATAGCGATGTGGTTGTTCCATTCAGATGAACCCTGGCCGCTGGTCCTAAAGAGCCACTCTGTCGGTGTTACCAGGTTCATGTGCCTCGCCGAAGAAGGCATATCCGACAAGAGGGGCAGGCCGTGATCAGGTCGTCCGGAGTTTTCCTCAAGGCGGCCGCATCATGCATCGGGACACTCTCAGCGCAGTGAAAAGGCACAGCATTGTCCTTCCATGCCATGCATCTCCTCTACTGCGACGGCGAAAGATGAGAGAAGCTGCGCAAGCTGCTTCGGAAAGGTCTGGGCACGTGGCGACGCGTTCGCCCGTCTAGATCCCCGGTCCAGGTCCAGGTATCCGGTACTCTGGAGAAGCCAGCGGATGTTTCCTGGTTGTTGAAACATCAGGCCATGCCTCATACAACCACGAAGCAAATGAAAAAACATCTGTGGCGACTAAGACGCCTGCAGTCAAGACTTGGCTGTCTTGATTTGAAGGCATGACTACGTGTGGTGTGTTTCTGGTGTCACAAAGGCGCGTCTACGAACGCTTCTTCTCAAGCTCGCCACCCACCCGCGCCCTATCAACGGTTCGGAACCCCTGCTTCATTTGCACAGCACTAAGTGTGTGAGCCTGACTTACGGTGATTATCCGGCGAGTCACCTTGTGGCTGCGAATAGCACTCTGGCGCCCTCTGACTGAATCAACGGCAAGCAGCAGAGACGCCAGAGAGCTAGATTTGGAGCTACGCCAGGTTAGAAGTAATGGGGTAGTTCCAAGGCTTGCCTACCCTCTCCCCCATCAAACGGGTGGCCGTAAATAGCGAAGGCGGAACACCGATGCCAGAGTTGTGCATTGTGCATGGACGTTGGGGAAAGTGCTGGAAGGGAGCTTAAGAGAGTCTGGTGTCCTGAGGTTCAGGAGGAGCGTCATGGTGTGGCGCATTGAGCTTCTCTCGGCGTGAACTATTTTGATGGGCAAAGGCGTCGACGGTGCCTGAGCTGTGCTGCCAGCTTTTCCTCGTTGGAGAGGAACTAAGACGGTCCGCGCGCCCGGTCAAATTCAACGACAGCTAGCCAGGTCAAGCCACTTGTCTGACCATTGTGATCCCGGGGGTAGAATCTGAAATTGCAACCGGCATGGCGGCCGGACTGGCTGCATTGGCGTTGCGCCAACCTCGAAAGCCTACCCACCCAAACCAACAGATTCACAGTGGAAGAATGGGACCTTTCTCACGCCGCCAGGCCTCGGGGGACGGGGAGAAGTTCATACCCCTGCTTGGCATCTGGTCCCTCTCCGTTCGCCTTTGTTACCCGGCACGCTTTCGAGTTCCGCGGGCCGTTATGGGAAACCAGGAACCAATACGGGCGTGTTGGGGGCAGCTTATCGAGAAGATCGACAGCCGGGATGTTGTTATGCTGGGTTCTTGCAGAGCTCAATGCCTTTTTTTCCGCGCCCTCCGTCTAATAGTTTCTGCTTTTACTTTTGTTGTTTCTTTTTTCATTCATCTTTTGTTATTCTCGATATGCTGACATCATCCACTTCAGCCGCTTGATCCTCGCCGTTCCTCCACTCTCAGGGTCTAGCTTGTCGCGCGGCGCGCAGGTAAAGAAACACGGACCCTCCGGCCAACTGAGTACACCGTTAGCTTTTGCCCAGGAAGCCAAAGAGATTGTGGGAGCAAAGACAGGAGCGACTAGAACCAACCTGCGCTGCATCATGATGGCGACGATGGATTACAACGTGGCTAACATTGCAGATGGATATTCATGGCTTTGACCCGGGCTACGCACCTCCCGCGACTAGAACGACAAATGACTCGGCTTGATTGGGTCTGAGGTCTGGTCTGTGAGCCATGAGATTGCAAGCCGGATCTGCGAGCGTGGAACGGCTGGCGTTCTCTCTGATACTGCTGCTGCTTGCTGCTGCTGCAATGCAGACACTGCACACGCTGCACATGCTGCTGCTGCTCGTGCTTGTCCTCCGCCTTGAACCTCGACCTCCTTCGATACCTCACACCCCCGTGTAGAGGACCGCGCCACGGCAGGCGGCAGATCACCCTTGGCTTGTGCTCCCGGCGGCGAACTAGGTATGGAGAGAGTGAGTGCCTCTCCGTGTCCATTCCGTATATATCATGATCGTCCCTCCGCCCGTTCAAGTGAATCTTTTTTGAGAGGACACCAGCTCATTATCCTTCTGGATCTCAACCTTAGATCCTATCCATTCACTTGTTCTAATTTCTTTAGTTCTTACACAGCTGCCCACAATGTCGGTTTTACGCTACATTCTTCCTACCCTGGCGTTGGCGCTGGGAGCCATCGCCGATGCGAAGAGCTTCACTTTGGATCTCACCTGGGAGACCGCCTCGCCCGATGGATTTGAGAGGAAGATGATTCTGGTGAACAAGCAGTTCACTGGACCGAGGATTGAGATCACTGAGGGAGATGATGTTACCATCAAGGTCAACAACAACCTCCCCTACGCCACAACAGTTCACTACCACGGTAAGCTTAGACAGATATCTTAATTCAACGTTCGACTGGTGACTAATATGGCTGTAGGTATTGAGCAGTTGAACACCCCTTGGTCCGATGGTGTTCCCGGCCTCACCCAGAAGCCCATCCAGCCCGGCAAGAGCTTCGAGTACAAGTGGAAGGCCACTCAGTATGGTGCCTACTGGTACCACGCCCACTACGAGGGACTCATCGAGGATGGTCTTTACGGAGCCATCACCATCCACCCCGCCGCCTCCCACCAGAAGCCCTTCAGCCAGATCTCCTCGGACAGCGCCGCTATTCACGCCATGGAGCAGGCCGAGAAGAAGGTCGTTCCTCTCCTGCTCGCTGACCACCGCCACATGATCTCTGAGGAGGTTCACGACCTGTCCAAGGCCGCCGATATCCAGTTCTCCTGCTATGACTCCTTCCTGTTCAACGGCAAGGGCAGCGTCATCTGCCGTACCCCCGAGCAGATTGATGCCCTTCTGACCCAAGAGCGCAAGGATGTTCTGGCCAATGTTGCTGGTGCCCGTATGACTGACAAGGCGTAAGTCACACCCCCGCGCAACCTCCCACAAACACCAGTCACCCTAACATTATCTAGATGCATTCCCGCTGCTGTCATTGCTCGTGGCCAAGGTGATCTGAGCAAGGTTCCTGCCGGCGTCTTTGATGGCTGCCAGCCTAGTGATGGTGGCCTCGAGACGTTCAAGGTCGAGAAGAGCAACTGTGATACTGAGAAGTGGGTTGCCTTTGACCTCGTTGGTGCCTACGGCCTCCACACCGCCATGTTCTCCATCGACAACCACTCCATGTGGGTGTACGCTATGGACGGTGCCTATGTCACTCCCCAAGAAGTGGAGGCTATTCCCGTCGCCAACGGTGACCGATACTCCGTCCTCGTCAAGTACAAGCAGCAGGGCGACTTCACCATCCGCGCTGCCTCGGTCATTGCTACCCAGATGCTTAGCGGTACCGCCCTCCTCCAGTGGCGTGAGAAGGGCCAGCCCGAGCCAACCATTGTTGCCTCTACTCCCTGGGTCGCCGACAACGGCAAGCCGACTTCCAAGGATGTCCGTGTCTTCCGCCAGGCTCTCGCCAAGCCATTCCCTCCCATCGCCATCCCCCAGACCGCCAGCGTCCTGCACAAGTTCGAGATGCGCAGCGAGGGCGGCTCCTACTTCTGGGCCCTGAACGACAACTTCCTCCTCCCCGCTGACTACGAGAATGACTCCCCCGTCCTCTTCGGCGTCCTTGCCGCCGAGAACGACCCCACCGTCGTCTCCACCAAGAACGGCACCTGGGTCGACATGGTCTTCCAGGCCACGGCCCCGCCCCAGCCCCCTCACCCGATTCACAAGCACGGCAACAAGATGTTCCTTCTCGGCTCCGGTACCGGTAACTTCACCTGGAACACCATCGAGGAGGCCGTCGCCGCCAACGGTACCCTCTGGAACCTGGTCGACCCTCCTCGCAGGGACGCCTTTGCGACGCCCAATGCCATCAGCCAGCCTACGTGGATGGCTGTTCGGTACCTCGTCGACAACCCGGGCCCCTGGTTGCTCCACTGCCACATTCAGAACCACATGATGGGCGGTATGTCTGTCATCATCCAGGACGGCATCGATGCCTGGCCCGTTACACCGCAGGAGTACGTCAATTACAACTAAAGTACATGGTCACAAAAGTCTAGTCATAAGAGTATACCACAAAACGAGTTCCCTGGGGGTCGGTAATGGTGTAATGGGAAATCTAGAAGGGGGGTTCATGGCGCGGGGCGGCATTTGATTTGCATGAACGGCTTGTTTTGCTACTCTTTTCTTGCGCGGAGCATTTTTGGACAAAATCTCTTATCCTTCCGGACTGTCATATATTCACCACAGATGCAGTAATCATTGAATTGATAATGAACATTTACACCGTTTTTTTCTCTTACAATTGGCCTCGTGGTACATGATTAGAGACGCTTGCCCACATGGTGTAGCGTGGCCTGAGTGCTGCGTTACAATCATTCCTGTACTGGAGTCTGTTCAACAGAAATCCACGAAAGCCGTCACGACATCATATGCTTATGTCTTGGTTCAAGTCGCAGCTAACGTATTGCGGCGTCATCCAGGTAGAGTGCTCTGCTTCACCGTTTGTTTTGTCCTGCTCGATGTGACGCCGTGTCACCGCGGCAGTACCACCCTAGTACATCTTCCTCTCACCAAAAACATGCCGCCTTTCCGAGCGCTTGAATAAGGTAGAGCGAGGGGGCGAACAAGGCTACACGGCACGCCTCGTCGCACAGCAGCTGTAGGTCGATCAGCGTGTTAAGATATGCTCTAACTCGTACGTGCGTTCATGTACTCCGTACATATTATGCAGAGTGCATGTAGCGCCTTTGAGGAGTGCCAATCTCACTCATTGCGGGCAAAAAAGAGATTTCGCCTCCTTGCCGCTTCTTCCTTCTGCTTATCGGGTTCATGTCTCCTATTCTTCGCTCGGTGATGAACTCCGTTGCGCCGCGTCCGGGGACATTAGCATGTCTCGGCTTTACACTTAGCGGATCTGACATGTCTCTCGTTTAGACGAGGGTTCAAATTGGGCTCAACATGACAGCACCACAGGTTTTCGACGTTAGGGGCACTTGGAACGGACCCTTTTGTCAAATTTTCTTCTTTGGGTGGTCGAATGGTTCACCGGGCTGGCAGCCATGTCGCTTTTTGGGGGGCTTCTGGGCTGATAAGAGACATCGCCGTGCGAACGAGGAATCAGGGGCAAACGGGAGAGAAAAGAAAGTGTGGGGGTGGCTGTCTAAGACAGTCAGGATGGACGAGTGACAGGTTGAGTTCTGTGAGATGGAGGTGCATGAGATGCTATGCACTCTGCAGTCTGCACAGCCTCCACTTGGCTATCGTGTGCGTGCTTCGAATCACGTATTGCTCTCTTCCGGTACAAGAGACAAAAATGCGCCTCCAGATCGGGTACATGTACATCTAGGGGATGAGGGTGGAGGTCTTTTGTGCGATGGCGCCGGGGATAAAACAACGGCAGCGCTTATTGGCGCAGAGCCGTTCGTTGGCGTTCGTATTCGAGAGTTAGAGCCTCACAGGTGCTTGGTGCCGAGCCGGCGGCTGTCTTTGGCTGTGCTTGGCCACTGGCCAGGAGATGGCCTCTGCCACTTGGCGTTGGAGCGACCGTAGGCCGTTTTGCTTTCTTGCGAGGTGTTTACATTGGCGACGGGGATTCACCTTAGCTCCATGTGGTGTTGTGTACAAGACGCGGTATCATGTGATACCTTATCTGGTTGACGCTCGCGACTACCGCTGCTGCTGAGGTGACCTCGGCAGAGAGTGGTTCATTGTTGATGAGGCCA